ATATATATAAATATATATAGTATAATATATACTGGATCAAACACTGTTTGGCACAATGATAACATTCAATTGAGTACGAGAGAAAGAGATAGAGAGTATATGTGTGATTGGGTTCGTATTTGTATCTGTATTTGTGTGGGTGTAGCTTGGAGTATGAGCGTATTCTATGTCGGTATGCGGGGGTGAATGAACATTTAACTATGCTGTTTGCTGTTACGAATACTGTTGCTGTAATTTTTACTGTTTACTGTTAAGATTACTGTTACTGAATATAAAAACGAGGCTACTGTTAATCAAATTTGGATCGCAATTTCGAATTGAATTTGGAGTAAATGCTGCAGAAACGAAATAGAGTTTAACCCGAAACAACTTATACGCATCAACTACACAGACACAAGCACATTGTTGCTATCAAATGCGACCTGGATTTTTGGCAATTCACGAATTGTTATAATTATTAGTATTATTATTTTAATTATTATATTAGTAATTTGGCAATTTTCACTGTACAACATTTTATGTATATAGATATATATGGCATGTATATATAGTACATGATAATTGTATGTAGTACATTATAGTTAAATAAATAGGAAATATATACTAAACGAAATCATACTAAATACAGACTAGAGTTGGACTAAAGGAGAAAACTAAATGGAAACTAATTAGAAAAAAAAGTGGAAATGGAATTGTAAAAGGAGAGCCTGAGATGTTTACAGATACAGAGAGAGGCTTCAGGTATTCGTTACTCATATAAAAAACATCAACCAACAAAACAACATAATGTTAAGTAGTTACTCATTATTTATGTAATTTGCTTGACAACAACACAAAAGGGAAGAACACAAACAAAGTTAACTTACCTGTTATCGAACAGAGCAGGCGTAGCGTTGGCGTATTGCCCGAGTACTGATTGATCATGCCCTGGCTGTGTGCCTTCGGGGCGGGCATGCTCAGTGTGATTGCCTTGTGGAATTTGCGACGGCGCGGCTCGACCGTTACGATCGGCGAGACGGCAACGCCGCGACCCAATAGCTTAGCCGTTAGATCTGGATCAACTGGTTGGGCCTAGAAATGTAACGAATTTTCGGCACTATAGACAACAAAAATCGATTTTCAGGCCACACACACACACACTCTTCAGCAATTATGGTAGATGAGGAACACAAAATTGAATAAAATAAAAACTATATACGAACTATGCGTCATTTGTTAAAATATATACATATATCTATATCTATATATGTATAAATCTAATGCATAGAAAAATACAAAAACAAAAATTAAAATTTTAAAAATGAAATGAGTTTTGGGCTAAATGGTGAACATTTTTGTTTTTTGTCTTTTGTGTCATATTCTTTTTGTTGTTTTTTATACAATGCTTATTAAAGATTTAGATGTTTCATTCATACAACTATTATTTTTAATGGTTCTATTGAGCAATCGCATGTTTTTAGTTAAGTTAACTACAAACAATAACAATGTTCAAGCCCATTTATGTCCCAATAAATTTAGTTATCAAAAAAAACTTTGACTACAACTTAATCGAACCGTAGAAAACGAAAATCTCAGCAATTTGCCGAAAATCATATTTTATTGAAATTTATATACAAAATGCAAAATAAAATGTGCTAAAAAAAAGTTTTAAACTCATGAGTGGGGCCATCATAAAATCGTTTTTTCTCTTTTTTTTGGCTTACAACTTCGTTAGGCATTTCTGAACCGAACCCAATTGTAACGGTCTCTAAGCATTTTTACAATACATATATACAACTATATAGTATTTCACAATTCCATTATATTTCTGTTTGTTCTCAAAAAAGCAATTTAATCGAAAAATTAATGAATAAAAATTAAAATTAATGAAAAGATTTTCATTGTTATAAAGTTTTTGTTGAACTAAATTTATTGGGTATAGTACTTCATTTCAGTAAACTTTTATAATCTTATGCATAGGTAAGTTTTTCTCTTTTCCTTTGTTTGTAATATGATAATTTATAATAATAATAATAGGCATATGTATATTTAGTATTATTATTAGTTGCCTACTTCGATTGGACAATTTGTTCGTTAAAGTTTAAGAAAATATGCGATTTTTGGATAAGTCGCTTGATCCATGATCAATCATCGTAAATATTATTCATTTAAATATTATTGCAAGTCACTCTAAAGTAATTTCTCCTTTGTTTTGTCGTGGAGTGCCAAATAATTCTCAACTAGTTCTGCAGTGTGATTTCTAGTAAATTCTCAAACAAAGTGCACATATATATATATCATAAGTAACACATAAAGCCCCCAAAACAAAAACAAAATTGTAATATTGTAACTAGAGGCATTCAAAGTAGGAATATTTTTAAACAAATCTAAATACTAGCATTGGAGTAGAATATTTTGATTTGATAATAGGTTCCTTTCAAGTTAATCTGAGCTGATCATGCTATATATATATATAGATATATGTACGTGTATATCATCGACGCGAGTTACAAAGTTTTTGGAGCGGTATTACATCTTGATTAATTAATTAGTATTTAAATGCGTACTTGTAATATTTTGGAAAACTTGGCTGATATACTTTGAGGAAGCTATTTATGTTAAATGCACGATTATTGGTGTATACTCTATATAAATCGATCGTTTACTTTTCTTTACGTTGATCTTGCTTCTTGATTTACCAAATGAGCGAGAAGCGCTTCTTTTTGGGCACATGATTGACGCTGATCTTGCGTAGTTTCTCGGGCGCAACGCCTTTGCGTGGTTTAAAGAGGTTTACCTGTAAGCCAACTTTGATTTTCTTGGTCAGGGCGCCCTGGGGGAAGACGGCCTGAACCTGCGGCACCACAGTGCTGGACACCATGCCGCCTTCGGGTCCAATTGCATGCACCTCCTGGCGTATACGTGATACGACAGCAAAATACTGCGGGAAATCGTAGGTGACAAAGCGACAGACATGATTGCCGGCCTGCTCCTCCAGCTGAGCGATTTCTGTAGCAGCACAAGAAACGAATTGAAAATTGAAATGAGGAAAGCTCATTTAAGTCAAGCCAAGTCCACTCACCCTCTGGCTCGAAGCACTGTTGCATGACATCGTGAATAACCTCCTCGGAGTTGTCAATGGTATGCTCTCGCCAGGTTTCGCCGTTGTCGGAACGCAAGATGATGATCTCACGCTCCTTGCCACGCAGCGAGGCAAAATGCGGTACCTCCATGACAACGGGCCCAATGAACTTGGTCGAGCACGGTCCCAGTTCAAGCACGCGGCTGGCCAAGGCCTCACCCTCCATCAACTGCGGTGGATGCATGGTGCGCTGCGGCTTTACATAGCGGCAGGTCACCCGCGTCGGCTGGCAGGTGGAGCGCGACGGTATTATCATACGGACGCCGCTGTGGCGACAGCCACGCATGGCACCGCCGCGTGCATCCACCAGGAATGAGACCAGGAAGCTCTTCCAGCTCAGCTTGCGACTACAAAGAGCACAAAATTAGGAAACATACTTGAGTAAGTCGATTGCTATACCTACCCCACATGTGGTGGCTCATCGTTGCCAGCTCCATTGGCTATATAGACACCGTCGACCGTTGCTTTGGGCGAGTTGCCATAGACTTGAGCCTTGTGCGGACTGATCATCTCCTCGCCAATGGTAGGCGGTACTCCACCCGCATACTCAGCACTTTGGGTCATGCGATTGGAGTCCATGCGCTCATCGCGCGTAACATCAATGGGCAGCGAGTCATCGCCTAGGGATTTCATTTCATCAACGGTCAGATAGCGATAAGGTTGATCGGATAGCATATTATCTTCGCCTATGGGATTTTATTTTTCGTTTATTTGCGTAGCATTTCGGTAGCATTCCACAGCATTTCAATTAAGCACAAGACAGTCCAATTGGCCATATAGCGAAGTATTGTTGTTGTTGTATTGTGTTGTATAGTGTAGTTCAGTAGTAGTAGTAGTTGTTGTTGTTATTTGATTTGCAGATGATGAGAGCGCAGTGCATTGAAAATAGAAGAATGCAAATGAGTTTTTCTTTTAGTCGAGAAATTTCGTCAACACTACATGCATATTTTGTATAAGTAGATACATATATATTAATAGGATGATATGTAAAGCTAGCATGAATCATAAATAGGAGCAATAGTATATAACTTATTTTATAGATTATATCAGATACATCATTTAATATATATATATTTTGATATAGTATTTCATGCCGTGGTACAAAAAAGTCACAATTTTCACCCAAAAACCTATCTCTTGTATATTTACATGGACATCAAGGTATTCGAAATGAAACCGTTATGTATTACAAAAAATTATAAATTATTTATATCAAGAAAACCAAAACGATTTCATTTCTGTATAGTTTAAGTGTTTAAATCAAAGAATTGGGAAGGTGTTGAGCACACCTTTTTCTGGTGTTTACGACAACGTCAAGATATAGTTTATACATTTAGGCGAGGCAACCATATAAAGTGCTGCATTATCCTTGTTAATTGATTATAATTTGGATTCCAATTAGATTCCAATCAATGCCAATTGGTGCACTTGATAGCAGTCGGCTCTTCAATATTAATTTACAATTGGCCTTGCCACGTTTCAATTGACAACTTACTGGAGACATATAGATAGTCGCCCTGGTAATACGGTTGAAAGATCTGGATGTCTGGCCTACGGTCTCGATCACCGCCAATGCCAAACTCGTAGCATGCGTCCAATTCCCATTCTGTGTCACCTGACGGCACACATAAAAGGGGTTTGTTTTTTTTTTCGATTTACTTAAGACTAATTATAACTTAGAGTATTGCTGTAGTCGAAGTCTGTGTATGTGTTTAGGTGTAAACCGAATAGAAGTCTATACATACCACCCTCTTCCTCGGAATCGGACATGAAGGATTCGTGCATGGCTTCTGGCGCCACGACGCGATACTTTTCCTCTGTCTGAGCGGCAGCAGTGGCATCCTCGTCCTCCTTGGTAATCGACTTGAGAGAATCGAGCACACTGATGTAGCCCAACTTGCGTGCAATATGCAAAGGTGTCTGACCATTGACAGTCTGGGCATTTGCATTGGCCTTGTGCTCCAGCAGCAAGTTGACAATATGGCAATGGCCCTGCTGAGCGGTCTGATGCAAAGGAGTATAGCCAGCCTTGGTGGCCATATCGATGTTGGCTCCGTTCTGGAGCAAGAAACGCACCATGTTGGCCTGGCCGAAATGGGAGGCCACATGCAGCGGAGTATAACCAGCCTTGGTGGCCATGTCGATGTTGGCGCCGTTGCGTTGTAGAATCTCAGCAACATTGACATTATCCTCCTGAGCGCACAGATGCATGGGTGTTAGACCGTTCTTGGCTGGATGATTGACGGCAGCCTTGTGCTCAATCAGTAAGTTGGAAATCTCGGCATGTCCCTCCTGGCTGCTTAGATGCAGTGGTGTGAATCCAGCCTTGCTCTCAGCATTGGCCTGAGCGCCGTATTCCAGCAAAGTGGTAGCAATGTCCATCTGGTTCTTGCGCGCCGCAATGTGCAGCGGTGTATGTCCGTTCTTGGCGGTGGCATGTGGACTGGCGCCCTTCTCTAGCAGCAGCAAGGCCACCTGCTGGTTGTTGTAGTGGCAAGCCACATGCAACGGTGTAACACCATTTTTGCCCTGTGCATCGACATCCGCCTCCTTCTGGAGCAGCAGCTGAGCGACCTTTATGTGCCCATACTTGGCTGTCAGATGCAATGGCGTAAAGCCCTTCTTGGTGGCTGCGTCCAAAGCAGCGCCATTCTCGATCAGCACAGCGGCCACCTAAATAGATAATGACTTATAAATATACTGAAATTGCGTTTCTCTATGCATCACTTTTATGTCTACAAAAATTCAATTGTGAAAGCAATACATAGATCTAACTACCTGTTCAGGAATACAACTTAATATGAGCTAAAAATCATAAATAAGAAATCAATGTAAAGAATACCAAAACAATATCGAAGTGGACACATTTATTTATGGCCAACATAATAGACAGTAACAAAAGACATAACGAAACTCGTAATACTCGATGAATGTAACAAAAATAAAAATAAAAGTAATAATTAAAGCAAATATACATAAGGAAACTTAAAAACCAATTTCAAATGAAATACTCCTGATGACGTATCCAGAACAATTGCATTAGGTAGACGGTGTCGATGTGATCCGTTATCTTTTTGGCAATCAAGTCTTTTACCTCGTCCTGGCCCTCCTTGGCGGCAATATGCAGTGCCGTGTACATGTCCTTTGTAGTGGCATCCACCTGAGCGCCATGCTGCAGCAACAGCATCACAATATCAACGTTACCCAAACGCGAAGCGATATGCAACGGCGTTTGCTGTTCCCGAGCACGTGCATCAACCTGGGCGCCATTGCGTAAAAGAATACGTATGATGTCCGTCTGAAATGAAGAACAATACAATTTGAAATTAACGTTTTATTGAATATGATAATCTACGTAAACTATCGATGATTAAAAATATCGAGTACTTAAACAGGAGAAGAACGAAACTATTTAATGGATTACTCAAAAAGGCTTTCGATAACAATTAATATTTTTGATATCGATAGGAGCCTTTAACGAAATAGAACTTTGAACGACACTCACCTGATTGGCGCGTGCAGCCAAATGCAATGGAGTCTCGCCACGCACAGTGGGCACATCGGGACTGGCGTCGTGCTGCAGCAAGTAAATGACGATGTTCATGCAACCCATGAAGGCGGCCACGTGCAGCGGAGTTAGACCGCTTTCCGTAGTAGCGCTAATGCTGGCGCCGTGGCGCAGCAACAGCTCGACGACCTTCAAGCGATTCTTTTTGCAAGCAATGTGCAGTGGTGTAAATCCATTGAGTGCACGTGCGTTAGCATCGGCATTACGGTCCAGCAGGAGCTTGGCCACACGCACATGTCCGCAATGGGCGGCCACATGCAGAGCAGTGAGATAATCGACAGTGACCTCATCCACTGGTGCGCGATGATAGAGTAGAATGCGAGCAGCATCCACATGCTCGCCCTGGGCGGCCATGTGCAAGGGCGCCAAGCCGTTCTTGGTTTTGGCGCTGATTGGGGCACCGCGCTCTAACAACATGTCTACGACTTGCTCGTGGCCGGAACGTGCGGCACAGTGGAGTGGAGTGAGGCCGTCACGAGTTTTGGCTTCGATGTTGCCGCCCTTCTCGAGCAACAGCGAGACCATGTTCGTCTTGCCCCACTTGGCAGCCACATGCAAGGGGCTGATGTTATGCTTGGCCGAGTAGTTGACATCGGCGCCCTTCTGGATCAACAAATTGGCAATGTTCTGGTTGCCATAGTGGGAGGCAATGTGCAGCGGTGTAAAGCCCGACTTGGAAGTCACATCCGGATTGTGGTCATTCTGTGGGAGACAGTAGCTAACTATCCGAACGATATTCAATATGTGATATTTACTTACATCTAGTAGAAGCGTAGCAGCCTTTACGTCATCCTTTTTGGCAGCTATATGCAGTGCTGGCAAGCGCACCTTGCCGCGTGTATCGCTCTCGAGAAGCACGGCTACAACTTTGTCGTGTCCCTGTTGCATGGCTACAGCCAGCGGAGTAAAGCCATCCTCCGTGGCCAAGCTCTGGTTAGCGCCATTAGATAACAAGAGACGAACTACTGCATCGTGATTCTCTTGGGCAGCCATGTAGAGTGGTGTGAAGCCATTCTGTGACTGCACATTGACAGAGGCATTGTGCTCCAGCAATAGCTTCACCACCTCCTCCTGTCCAGCCAGCGAAGCAATGTGCAACGCTGTATTCCCCTTCTTGGTGGCGCTGTCAACAATTGCACCGCGTCGCAGCAGCTCCGAGACAACGTGTATGTGTCCATCTTTGGATGCTAAATGCAAAGCATTCAGGCCGTTCTACAAAAAATTAGTCGAGCAGAGATTAGGTATTGAATTCCACCTTTCATGAAGAATTTACTTACCGCATTACTAGTGTTAATGTCAATGTTGTTCTTTAGGTGTTCCAGCACGCGCTCCAAATTTCCAGCGCGTGCGGCACGAAGGAAGGAAGTATTGCCATCGCCCTAAAATTATAAAATATGATCTTATATAAGTAACAATATAAAACAATACAATATAATAAAAAGAAATTCATTGTGTTCATAGAATTCCTATATAACAGAGCATGAGAGAGGTAAGTCCGTATAATCGAAATATTTTCTGCATAATAACTAATCAAACTAATCATCAAACATTTTACCATTCTCATTTAGATTGATTTTATATTTTTATTTTAATTTTAATCAATTTATTACGGTTTGACAGAGTTGTATAATTCAGTTTTTAAGTTGGGCAGAGCTATAAATCAAAGAGCGGCTCTCTGTCCTTGGCCAAACGTAAGTTGCGTGCCAGCTGCGTGTTCATCACAAGAGCTTTAGTTGTAGCTGAGGGCTGTTATTGATCGTATATGTACCTGCATGTGGGTAAAGAACCGTTACAGTCGTTGCGCAACTGAAGCTCGCACTGTGAACTGTAAACTGTGCACCTGGTAGCATGAGCAGGGGTATGGAGGTGTGGAGGCAGGGAGACCAAGTTCAGTTAGCTGACGGTCAAGGCGAGGGGTCAACGTCAGCGTTTTCAATGCGCAGGTGTAATTCGGCTTTATGCCAACAGCTGCCTTCCCTCCTTTTTTTTTTAATAGCCACCCACAATTTGTTTATGTTTTCGCTTTGCTTTACGCTCCACTGAGCAGCATTTGGGGCGCGTTGCTTGGAATTCGATATCGAAAATGACGTCATGATGTGACATTGGAAAACTGCAAGTGGAAGGCGGCTTCCAATTGGAAGGTTGATTTTCGCACTGGATACGCAATGCCGACAACGTTGTAAGTGACCGCAGACAAAAGTCCCATTAAAACCGAGCCGCCGTTTCCTGTCGGAGACCAGCTCCCAAGCTGTTGCAATGCATAGAGAGAAAGCGAAGACAGAGCGAAAGAGAGGGGAAGAGGGCGAGAGCAACGGTGAGGGCAAATTCGAGGGCTCGCCCCTCAGCCAATACGGAAGTTGAAGCGGCACCTATTCATGGCATGGCTGGGCCAACACAAAACTCATTTCATATGCTTTTGTACATAAGTGTATATAGAAGAAGCCCAACTCTAAAGGATGTCTTTAGGCGCTGGCCGCTTCCTTGTTTGCCCAACTTGATGAGGGGCAGACACACACAAAAACACATTCTAGCAGCCAAAGTTCAAAGGTGGCTCTCAGGGATTGTATAACAAGCTCAATTGAATGCTTGAAGCCTTGAAGTGGATTTCCTTTGAACTTGTGCAACAAAATGTCGCCCAAGTAGCTAATCAGCTCGAGGCTCAAAACTCAAGTGCAGATTATAATGGAAAATCGGTGCAACAAATAGAGTGATATTCATTAAGAGCCAGAGAGCAAAGGCAGAATATGACTCATATTATGGATTTTCTCTACATCTCGGTTGTGGCATGAAATGTCGCATGTCATCATTAAATTTAACCTAAATCTGTATTACCTTGCAACACGGGTTGAGGCACGGACTCACGCACAGCATGTACCGCACCACACCCAGTTCGGATGACAAAATAGCTGTCCTTCTCAACAATAGTTAGCTATTTATTTATAGCTCATTGTATAAATGAATATGAATACCTTTTATTCCTATTCCTACATATATCTTACTCAAATTAAATGCGACTAAGAAAAATCAATAAAACTTTGCCGTCATAAAAATGGTTACCAGGTGCCAGACAGCAGCTCTAATTATGTCGAATTCTAAAGTTTCTTTTTATAATTAACAAATTGAGTTTTAATTACTCTTTGCTGCTATTTGCACCCGATTTTTCAGTCCAGACACTGAAAAATCGATAACGTGCAAAATGGACGCCAACATGGCCGTCTCAGACAGTCTTTTCGAAAAGTTAATACCCGCTGCAATTGAAATGAGATATTTTCTCAATTATTTTCTTTACCTGAGCTCCATTTTCAGTGACCATTTTGCGTTCACCGTTTTTCAAATAGAGTAGAACAGCCGAATTTCAATCTTATGATATATATATTTATATGTATATATATCTAGTATAGAAATATTGTGTAAGCGAGGCGCGCGTATGTCGTCACTGATTAGTCATAGTTTTTCTTTTTCACTCGGCTAATTAATAAACCTTCTTTTTCGTATTCGAATATGACGCGAATAAAGATTTAACTACTCGAGACTTCTTTTTGTTGAATTTTAAATGCACTCGCATCGATTTTTCCTTGGATTTTATGTAAGCTTTGGTGCATGGGTGTGCGTGTGTGTGCGCGAGGGTGTGTGTCTGTCTAYGTGTGTGTGTGTCAGTGTACGTTTATATGTGACTGTAACTGTGACTGTGTCGCTGTCTGTGTGTGTGTCTGATTGGATTCCTTTTGCTAGTTAACACAGTCGCTTCTGAATTATACACGCTGAGGAGCGGTCGCTTTTTGCTGCCGTTTTCTTCAATGTTCAACTCCAGACTGGATGTTTGCTGGGCCCGTACGAAGAGTCCTACCTTAGAGTCGTGGTTGAAAATCGGTTGTCGGCAACCGAGCAATGCCAGGATTTTCGAAGGACCTGCGCACTTGCTTATTCCAATTGGAAAACGCCGCCCGTGCGGCCTGCGTCTGCGCCACCATCACCCAAGGGTGGTTCACTGGCATTGGAAGCGGAAGCGTATGCCGCCCAGTTAGCACGTGCGTCTCGCTTTGTTGACATTTGAAGCCATTGGAAGCGGTGCAGCGGACACGTGTGCAGCGTGTGCAATAATAAACAAGATATTAGTATCAAGTCTTATAAGAAACCAGTTGAAAAATTTAGAAATTGAGGTACTCGCTAAGACTCTCCAACTTCGGATTTTCATCAGGGCTATTCAAGAACGTTGCATTGAAACTCCAGAGAATATGATGTGTAAATTGATCCTTGGGGACTTGAAAAACATTTTTTAGTGGAAAAAGGACCTCCTACCGTCACGTAATTAATTTGCTGTCACACCCAACTGCGTTTGTATTTTCAGCATATTCCAAGTAATTAGCTGAGCAAATATAATCATTTAGAAACAGGTCCTTGGCGCAGTCGGCGTTTAAAACGTTGTTGACTAAGCGTAAACAAGACTAAGAAAAACTACACACAATCCACAGTTGGTTGGTGGAGGGTTTATGTTTTTTGGTTTGATGGGGGGGTTGATTTGCCTTCCAATCCAGCGCTTTGCAAGAGCAATCAGTACTCTTGGCTGGACTTTGTTTACTTCCAGTTTCGAATTGGAAACGAAATAGCAACCCCAAAACCCAACACCCTCACGAAAATCCAATCAGATGCGTATGCAGCCGCATTCAGAGTCACGTTTTGCCAAGTAAGCCAAGCCGAGGCAAGGCAAAGCAAGCCAAGTAAGAGGAACGACACAATTTCTACTATTGTTCTTGGCAAATTAGCCGATTGCAGGGAATTCCACCCTATTGTTAAAACTTACCCCTAGGCGATTGCATAAAATTGCATTTCGAATTGCATTCGTGACCGGGACAAATTGTGTAAAGTGCTTGCTCTGCTTTCTATGCTGCAAGGGGTTGGGCCTGGGCACGAGGGTAAGCAACTAATGTGGCATGTGSCATGTGGCAGCAAGGTGTGACGCACATTTTGGTATTCAATTAATGAGCCTTTCAGCTTTAGCTGGTATCTTTAAGCTGCATTTCAGTCTTTATCGCTTACCCAAACATTGGGCCTATTTGGTTTGGCCAGCAAAGGGTTTTCGATTACACTTTAAACCCATCGAACTCTTTGGGGTTGTGCACGAAATGCTCGAAACGGAGCTAAATTGCAGGTTTGCATGTCAGCTGCTACTCCATAATAAATGTTTGAGCCTCTATACTCTATATTCACTATGAAGTGTTATGTAAATTACTATAGACATTGCTTGATTACTATTTGCGAACAGGTGATCTATTAAACATTATATAACTACTTACATTTCAACACCTATAGTATTACGTGAATAATTTATATTTATCTACACTATGGAGTGTTGGAAGTCAGTTTATTGGTTTGTATAGTTAAATTTTTTAATTTTATTATATATTGACCTAATTAATTTCTTGGTTCTATAAGATTTTTTGTAAATGAGTAAAAATAATTATTATTTACCCAAAATAGATTATAAATAATAATTTACATTCGAAAATAAAAACAAAAATTTTCTAAAGAATAGATATTAAATTGTTAAATATCTTCTTTTATCAATGGGTAACAACACAGAGTATTTAGACTTCGTTATACCTCAACACATTGGCCATATTTCCTTATATATTTTTTAACAACTATGTTGGCGTCGATGAGGCTATCGCTTGTCGGCGCGACATGGCATATAACATTTCAAAAGCCAAAGTAGCCACAGCAACAAAAACAACAACAATAAGAAGAACACGAAAATAACAAGCAAAGCAAACACGAGTGGCTCGAAGTAAAGCGTCAGTCAGACGACACGGCCTAAGCTAATTGTCCACAACTTTGATGACCTTTGAAAACGCAACAGAAATATGGCGAGACGAGTCGCGACAGTCAATTTAATATAAAGCTACCCTGGGGCATCTAGTCGAGAATGGGGAGTGGTGGCTGGGAGAGAGCGAAAGAGAGAGAGGGAGAGAAGCGGAAGTAGTTTCTTGTAGATGAACAGTTCACTGCACCGACACAAAAGACGCCGACGCACAGAATTTAATAAAACAATATAATGTAAATATTTTATGCACATAAATCTGTCTATTTTTGTTCAGAAATTCTTGATTTATTTGGGTCAACTGCACTTTTGATAGGAAACTATATGTGCGTATATACACATTAATATATACGTTTATATATTACATAAATCGAGTCCAAGTTGCCAGCGACTTACGCCCAAACTCTGCAGCGAAGGAAATCGTTTCTTCAATGTCTCCATGCCGTTTATTTTTTTTTTTTATATGCAAACAAAACACAGACGCTTAAAATGTATATGGAATAAATATATATATATATCTAAATATATAGACGAGTAGTCACGCGTTGGCCGCCACCAAGAACCGCAGACAGCGAGCGATTCGAGACGTTTTCTAAATTATTTCTATTCGCCGTGCGGCCAGAGACCCATGCGAAGAGCACAAAGAGAATTTCGCCAATTGGTTTTATTTTTAAAACATACACAACAAATTTTAGAGAAGCAAATTATCAAGAAAAAAGCTTTCGAGTGTACAGGATGAATGGGGGCTAATGCGAAAATGAGGCAGGGCTGGGTGTGTTTTGGAATGGTGTGGAGTGTCGCTGGGGGTGCGGGTGGCAAGGCTCTAAGTTCTAATTTTGAAGCTTTTTTTAATACAGCCGTAAGTGATGCCTGGGAGACGCTACGACGCCAGAGAGTCGTCATGGAGTGGCTAATGGCCCAGCAAGGACAGCGTTAGATGGGCTCGATGACTCATTTGGCATTCAGTTATTCAGCTCAAGGATTGCGATTGCGTCATTCAATGGATTGGCAGCCCCACATATACTCATAAACACATACATATACCCATATAAAAGATAAAATATATGTACTTATACTTAAACATACAGTTAAGAGATGAGCCACATGAATATGGGCAATTCATAAGTAAACGCGATCATTGCCCGGGCTCTATGGGTGTATATGATGTACGCCTTGGCACTCACCGCACTCTGATGTCCTGTGGGGCAGTGTTCATGCTTATCGTGATGCTGCTTATTGTTCTTGTCACAAAGCGGGGCGCCACCATGCTGAAAGACCAGCTCATGCTGATGCTGAAAGTATTCATAGTGGCCCACATGCTCCGGGGACAACGGCTTGGGTGGACTTTGAATCGTCTTGGCAGCACCATGAGCTGTCGGATGATGTGATTTCTTGTGGTGCTGCTGATGCTGATGCTGGTGCTGGTGCTGGTTTTGCTGCTGTTCTGGATTCTGATGATGGGATTGCTGATGCGACTGTTGTTGCTGATGCGATTGCTGGTGGTGCGATGAGGCATTGCCATGATGTCCGCCATGATGATGATGATGATTGTGTGCCGTGGGTGGCGATGGCATGTTGTGGCCACTGTGTGGCAAATGCGACGAGTGCTGCACGCCTACCTGATGGCTATGATGGTGCGGCACATGACCTTGCGACGCCTCCAGTAGCGTTGGCTGGATGTGAGTCACAAATTGAGCCATGATAAAAAGCACTTAAGGCCTTGCACTTGTTTGATTACGATTTCAAAGACTTTTTTCCACTTAAAATTTAGAGGGGTACATATACACACATATGTATACTAAAAAACTGAGAGTGTGTAGCAGCCACACACACTCACACTCTCCCTCACTCACACATGCACATGCACAAACACAGTGGAACGGGAGTTGGAGACGGCTTCTTCGACGACGGATTAATTTTGCTGTGCGCGTGGACAACCTTTACGCAGGAGCAATGTCAAATGACTGGCCTAGCCAACAGCAGCAGCTATCCCAATTTTTGCCTTAGATGTGACGGGACTTTCACCTCGTCCTCGTCCTTCGTTGCTTCGCTACTCGCTTCGGCTCCGAGTCGTGCGCGCTTTTTTTGGGGTGGTGCTCGGTGGCTAAACGGAAGCTTTAACCGGACCAAGTTTTATGTGATGCTGCTACTGCCGCTGCTGCTGACGTGCCTGATAAGAGCTGCTGGCAATAAACAATTGATTTATTTTTGTTTTTCTTATTTTTTGTTGTTGCTTCCATAGCCCAAGCATTGATTTCGACACAGCAATGAAAGGGCGGCCGCCAGTGCTTCGGGTATATATACAAAGTATTTTTATTTTTAACATAACCTTTAAGCTAATTTTAACAGCGCCTGAAAATATACAATACTTTTTTATTTAAGGCATTTAAATAGCGCGCGTTTTTTGTTGCATACAAAACTTTTCGCACAAAAAGCTTTTAGTTCGCTTTGATTGCTGAGTTTCGCCTTGGCCTTGGGATCTCATTTGGGGGTGTGTCTCGACTAGAGTGCCAAAGCGAATGATATTCGCCTGCATGCAGCGAAAGTTTATTGACGCCACTTTCCAACCCACGCAAGCTTCGTGCAAGCTGCAAATTGTTGTTGCTCTGAATTCGCCACAAGCAAGCGGGTCTAATGTTCACATCTCGCTTTGGCTACGCTGCGACGATTTGTGAGCAACAGTTCGCTCGATTGTTTTAATACGACAAAGTACCTCGGCGAGTCAACATTGTGACCTAAATAAAAACGGAATATTATTAAATATCTCTTAATTTGCAATAAGTTGATAATAAATTTGCTGCGACATGGCATTTTTAAATAAGGTTTGTACACATTTAGTTGAGCATAAACACAGCTTTATTGACTCTAGCCAAAGCAATGACAGCCGCTGATCATTAGGCAGACATTTTGAAATGCGTTTGAAAGAGAGATAGAGATTTTTCAGATTATTTCTCTTATCTGTTGTGTTTGTACTTTGCCCCTTGGTTGGACTTGTGAACCCACACGGAATTCCGAGACTAATTATTTTGTTTGCTTGTAGCTCGCAGCTCCTGCTATACGTCAGCTGGCCGCCAGCCGGTGCTACGCTGCCGTCTCTCACGTCTCGCCCACCGGCCCGTCCTTTGCTCTGACCGAAGAGCAGCAACAGCTCCAAGAGCTGGCGCGGAAGTTTACCCGTGAAGAGATCATTCCAGTGGCTGCGCAATACGACAAGACCGGCGAGTACCCATGGCCGATCATCAAGAAGGCCTGGAGCTTGGGTCTGATGAACAACCACATACCCGCCGAGCTGGGTGGCTTAGAATTAGATGTGTTTACGACCTGCCTGACTGCCGAGGAACTGGCCTATGGTTGCACCGGTATTATGACTGCTCTGGAGGCTAGCGGCTTGGGCGTAAGTGAATATGACTCCACATTCTATGTATATATATTTAATCGCAACTATATTTTAGCAAACACCTGTGATCCTCTCCGGCAACAAGGAGCAGAAGAAGAAGTATCTGGGTCGTCTGCTGGAAGAGCCTTTGGTGGCAGCTTATTGTGTCACGGAGCCTGGCGCTGGCTCTGATGTGGCCGGTATTAAGACTCGAGCCGAAAAGAAGGGCGACGAGTATGTGATCAATGGCCAGAAAATGTGGATCACCAATGGAGGCGTGGCCAACTGGTACTTTGTGCTGGCACGAACCAACCCCGATCCCAAGTGCCCGCCCAGCAAAGCATTCACTGGTTTCATTGTTGATCGTGAGACCCCTGGCCTAACGCCTGGTCGCAAGGAACAGAACATGGGTCAGCGTGCATCTGACACACGTGGTATCACCTTCGAGGATGTACGAGTTCCAAAAGAGAACGTGCTGATTGGCGAGGGAGCTGGCTTCAAAATTGCCATGGGCACCTTCGACAAGACCCGCCCTCCAGTCGCAGCCGGAGCCGTTGGCTTGGCCCAGCGCTGCTTGGACGAGGCCCTAAAGTATGCGCTGGAACGCAAGACCTTTGGTGTTCCTATTGCCCATCATCAGGCAGTTCAATTCATGTTGGCCGACATGGCCATTGGCGTGGAGACATCTCGATTGGCGTGGCGCCTATCCGCTTGGGAGATTGACCAGGGACGTCGCAACAGCTACTACGCATCCATTGCCAAGTGTCATGCGGCCGACATGGCGAACAAGATTGCCTCCGATGCTGTGCAAATCTTTGGCGGCAATGGTTTCAACAGCGAGTATCCCGTGGAAAAGCTAATGCGCGATGCCAAGATCTATCAGATCTATGAGGGCACATCTCAAATTCAACGTCTTATTATCTCAAGGAACATGTACGAAATGGCCAAGGGCGGTACCAGCAGATAAGATGTAAGGTCACGGTCACAATCATCCTCATTTCACAAACAACGATAAATAAAGTTAATATATAAGTACTTAAACTATTACTGAAAAAGTTGAAAACCATTTGATAGGGGTAGTCATATAGTACATATTATTGCTATAGATAACATACATACAATCTTAGCTAGAAGACACCAAATCGCGAGCCTAAATTGGGGCGCTCGAAAACGCTTGCTGATAAGATACGAAAGTTCTTGACAGTCTGCCCCCTTGGTTCTTCTGATAGGAGTTATGGCTATTTTCGTACGTCAAACATAAAACGGGACATAAAAGACGTAAAGAACACAAATAACAAAAGATATCACATTGACTTCATCCAGTGCACCAATGCAGATCACTTTCGTCTAAATAGAGTCTTAGCAGACCCTTTTTGCCCCTGGGAGTCAAGCATTTGGCATTGTCACCCCATTTTAACTGCCAAATGGCTGCCAATGTGGTGAAGGCACCTGGTAAGGAGAATGCCTGCTCATCGATGCTCAGTTCCATGCGCTTGGGCAGTTGTTTCTGTTCCTCCAGTTTCAGCAGTCGCAGATCGTCTACCAGACGTATACAATTCGTGGCCAAGAGAACGCGAAGATGGGGCAGCTCATCGAGCACATAGCCCAGGGCAGCTCCACTCAAGCGCTCATTGTCACTAATGTCCAACCACTCCAGCTGCTGTGCCTTGGCCAACTGTTGTGTCATCTTGTAAATATGCGCATCAATCAACCCGCAGCCAGCAAGTTCCAATCGCACAAATCTCTCACTAGTACCGCTCTCGAGTAGCGAAACCAGACGCTCTCCGAGCGCAAATCCACTCTGTTCATCCAGTGGCCAACGTACGTAGCTCATATTTAAGTGCTCCAGGCGACAACTATTCAACTTCTCTGTCAATCGGCGCACACTTTGCTGCGATAGCTGATTGAAGCTAATATCGAAGCTGGTCAATTGCGTATACGCCAGATCAAAGTCCTGCAGCTCGGTCAACTCACATTGTGAAAGATTCAGCGTTGTCAACGCTCGACCAGCTCGACTAGCACAAAACTTATGCAAGGTCCGCAGGCTGGCGTTGCCCAGCGGATTTTGGCTAAGTTGTAGCTCCTCTAAGTTCTCCAAATTTTCAATATCCGTACCGCAAAGCAGAGCCTCGAGACCTAGATTACTGATCCCATTACACTTCAGTCGCAATGTCTTCAATTGCAATAATGTGGGCAGCGCCTTGGCTAACTGCTGACAGCCCTCGTTGCCAATGAAATTGAAGGATAAATCTAACAGTGTGAGACGCGCCTGATGCAGCAAGGCCTTGAACAGTGGCTCTGTTTGAACGTCACGTAGCCACAGACTCGACAGTTCCAGTGTGAGTGTACTTTGTGAACGCTCCAACCGTACCTTTATCTTATCGTCGACAGCTGTAGAAGATTGAAAAGTTATTTTATAAACTACCACGATTAATGTGTGCTGCACACCTTTCTGCAATTGATGGCACATTTCCTCATAGCGTTGAGAAAGTGGTGAAATTTTCCAATCTAGAATTGTGGATAATAGCATATTCTGCTCAAGCGCAACGCTTACTGAATCAGTCTCCTCGTAGGCAAAGCCATCGGATGTCTTGAGACGCAACAAAGGCGTGAGTCCAGTTAATCTAAAAATATATTGATATTGTGAGACTAATTCTTTCAATACCTATCCACATCTGCTCACTTATTATAACGTCGCCCTGTCTCTTCGGCCAGCCAGCGCATGTTAATATCCTGTAGTTTTTTGCGCTCAATTGGCACTAGCAGCAGTTCGTCCTGGACTTTGACTTTGAAGGACACAGTGGTTGCCAGCACTGGCGTGGCTTGCACTTTAATGGGTGATGCCATTTTAGACGGCGAGATAAGTAGCTGAATGCCAGCATTTTGTGCACCACTTGTTGTGGAATCCGGTTCCGTGTGCGTGCGGAAGCTTATCAACGAAGCCCCATCAGTCGAATCCTCGCCACTGCCTAAAGGACTTTCACTGCGAAAGCGACAAAAGCCGCTGTCCAGCAGAGATGCCTGCTGCTTGGGCTTAGAATTACTGCTACTGTTATTGCTGCTCATGCTGGAGGAACGCGAGAGCGTTAGCTTACGCATTTGCTTTTGCCGCTGCTTCGAATTGGCTGCCTCGAGTAACAGCTGATGAGCATCCTGCTCTGGAGGCGTGGCCTGGATCTCCGCATCCCAAGCCAGAGCGGAGTCCTGCAGATTCTCCTTTGAATTAATCGGTCGACTACCAATGCTGCCCGAATTATACCGCTTTCGCTTGCGCTCTGGTCCTATATCATCGATTAGCCAGTTATCTGCGTCTACTTCATTATCATCCAAGAGCGCGGCACGCTTCTGCCTGACATTGAGGGCCGTGCTACTGCTTGGCTCATCGTAAGTGGCGGGTGTACGATTTGGACGCTTAAGTTGCGCCATCACGTTGCGATATTCCTTGCTAGCGCTTGATGGCTGACGCGGACTGTGTGTCGAGCTGCCTGAACGATTGTGCATGTTAAAGGAGCGCCTAAGGGTGCGTGACGCCAGCTCAAGCTCCTCCTCTTCAGCTTCTGAAGAAGCTGAAGCACTAGAAGATGGCTGGGCATTGGCATTGGTCAAGGGACGTGCCTGTCGCATGCTACATATGCCCACCTTGGAGAGCGTTCGCAGAAGCGTTTCGCGGAGCTGGGCATACTGCGCCTGTTCGCCATCGAGTAGTTGCTTGGATTGCCGCCATTTGTCCAATCCCTCAATACAAGTTTCATTGTAGTCTGTGCGTACAGTTGCATCGGCTCCCCGCTCCAATAGCAACTCGGCCACGTCCAGATAACCATTAGCACAGGCATCGTAGAGCGGTGTAATGCCATCACAACTAGTTCCGCCCTTGTCATTGATCGCCACTGTAGCTCCCTTGTCCAGCAGCAGCTCGACAATATCACGATGGCCATGGTTGCAAGCCTCGTGTAGAGGCAGCCAACCAGCATGATCGCGTACATTCACCGTGTGGCCCTGTTCGATCAAACGACGCGCCAATTCCAGGTTGCCTGCTATGCAGGCCTGATGCAGCTGAGTTTCGCCCTTGTTGTTGCGTTTGATAGTGAGTGTGCGGTTGCCGCGAGTAATGCGCTGTGGGCGGGGTTTGTCCGTCTCATCGAGATCGCTGGCATCGGAATCAGTGAGTGCATCCAAATCCACATCATCCCCCCAGTCAGGTGTGTTCTGCTGCAAAGCTGCAGGCACGTCGCTTTCAGCATCCTCATCCTCGTCCAGCTTTGCTGCTTCCTCAGCCAGATTGATTCCCTTGGCCTTAGCGTCAGCCTCTAAGTTTTCGGCTAGCATGGTCATTTTATGCTTTAGCTGAAGCTTATGTAAGCGCACTAAAGCAATCTTCTCCAGCTTTGCGGACGATGATTCATCGGCCTTGGCTGCTTGTCTCAAAGCTTTTTGGTACACATCATGTATTGTCCAGAATGGCTGCGCTAGCAGCTCACAGATCTCCGCAATGCTGCACAGCGTCGTAAATGCCTCCCCTGGCATATCCTGATTAAGCTCATACTCTTTCCACAAATACTCCAGCGCCTTATCGTACTGTTTGTTATCCTTGTAGGTTTGATACAGGCTCACATAGATAGGCACCAAGCTCTTGCCTCGTTCCCCGTTTAGCTCCGCATTTTCCAGCATTTTTTTATAGTAGTCGATGGCCTTTTCATAATTCAGCAAATGGCAGCAGCCATCGCCTAGTTTCTCGTACAAATCTTTTAGTTTGGCATAGTTTACCGAGCTTGTCAGCACCAGCTCATCAAGGGTTTGGCAAATCTTGACCACAACACGCAATGATCGCTCAATAGTGGCACGGTCATTCTCATCGGGGGAATGCTTCTTATACGCCTTGGTCAGTATTTGCTTCACACTAGCAAAGTCTCCAGCACTGATCAGGATCTCTGATTTGGTTATAAGTGTCTCACAGATCTTCTTCACCTTATTGGGCAAACGCTTGGCAACTTCCTGTGCCATATTGCAGTAGCGCAACGCAGACGCGGCGTCGTTCTTCTTACAATTGTAAAGCAAACTCATCGAAATGTAGCACAAGTGGGTCAGTTCGAACAAATCGTGAGTTTTGCTGATTTTAATAGCTTTATCAATGTACTCGATTGAGGCCTCGAACTCTTCCATATGCTCTTTCACAACGCCAATGTTGAGGTAACAACGCGCTTGCATATCCAATTGCTCTAGTTTCGAAATCTGACCTGAAAGCCTATAAAACGAATTCTTGTTAATGATTATAAAAACTAAAGGAGTCAGCACTTACTCTTTAATTAGCAAAAGACTCCGCAGAAAACTTTTTTCCGCCAGTTTTAATTGCTCCATAGCACCGGAGGCTGACGTCTCTGATAGACTCTGTCCGTGCAGGAGGTGTACCCGTCCTAGCGTTGCATAGGCCCGCTGCTGCTCCACTTTGTTTTGTAGTCTTTTGGCAATTTCTGCCACGACAAGGCAATGTTTACGACATAGATATAGCATACATCTGTTACTACTCACTTAGATAATCATTGATGTGATCCTTGGCAGCATCGTATTCACAAAGCAAAGTGAACATTTCGCCCAGCATGCGCTTCGCCTTTGCCGTCTCCAGCTCCTTGCCCATGCTGCTATATATTGCCGCCTCTTGTTTATACTCTTTGGCGGCCTCATTGTATCTTCCCAGTTGATAGTAAAAGTCGCCCAGTTGATTACAGCTGACTGCCAATTGTTCGCGATTGCCATCAATCCGCGCTTTTTCTTTGCGCTTTATGTAGCGCTTTTCATCCATCAAAACAAATAAATCACACAAGTAAACACAAATTTCACAATTTCAATACATTTTTTGCACCATCGTTTTGTTTTCGGCGCGAATCAAGAGTGTTGCCACACTGTCAGACATCGTATTTCGAACATATGGATAGGTGCTTTCGTAATCGCACTGAATACAATAGTAATCGGATATCAACTCGACTTCACACGCAAACAACGGACATGATGAAAGTTTGTTATCGGCACAATCCGATACTTGTACACACATCACTACTGTCGCCGGTTAATAGAGAAAAAATTTTTCAGCAGTTCAGCAAATTGAAGGTAATTTAAATGCGCAAATATTTCCTCAAACTCTATTTTTTTTTATGTCTATGTAATTGCATTGTTTAGGTAACATTGTTGATTGTGCGTGCGTGTTTCTTGCATATGTGATGAAATGCATTAAAATTGTTGTGCCAGAAAAATCGATAGGGTAAAAAAAAATGGTGGGGGCTTCCTTTCAGCGAGACTGCGAAACATGACGTGACTAAAAGTACTTTTTCATGCATTCTATTAACAGATATAAACGGCCTATTATTCAACAAGCACAAATAAATAAATATCTAGTCAAAGAGAATATTGGCACAGCAATAAGAAAGTAATAAGGAGTAAATGTATAAGTATGAACTGATTTGTCGATTTGAAGGCAGAAAAAAAAAATTGGATCATTAACTGATTTGCATTGATTGGTAATTTGTATGTTCCATTCGTTTTACAGCAATTGCGTGGCAATGGCGAACAATAACTATGCCGGGTTCAACTACGGCGGCACCCAGTACAACACGGGACAGGTGACATATCCGGCCGTAACTAATGCAACATATGCAAATGCGGCTGCCTATCAAAGTGCTGCTGTGGCTGCTGGCCAAGGGGGTGGTGGGTATGCAGCGGCCGGTGCCGGTGCTGGTGCTGCTGGCTATGGGGGCTATGGTGACTATCGTAGTGCCATGCAGTCGTACGACGCAACCAAAACATTCTACCAACAAGCACCGGCCAGCTACAACACGGCCTCAGCGGCAGCAGCAGCAGCAGCAGTTAGTAAGACACATTATTCGGCGCCGCCGGTAAAGAATCCTAATTCTACACAAAAGGGCATGGGCAAAATGGACAAATCGAATGGTACACCAAAGCCACCTCCAAATGTCGCTGGAGGCAATAGTTATAGTGGCTATGATACGGCGATCTACAATGCGGCCAGCATGTATGTGGCACAACAGCATCCGGGGTCGCAGCAGAAGCCAAACGGCGGCTCCAACAATAGCTGGTATCAACGAAAGATGGGTCCGACAATCCCTGGGGCAGTCGCATTGCGTGGTATGCGCCCAAAGGCTCCGCCACGACCACAGCAGCTGCATTACTGCGAGGTATGTAAAATCTCATGTGCCGGTCCCCAAACGTATCGAGAGCATTTGGAAGGACAGAAGCATAAGAAGCGGGAGGCATCACTGAAAATGCAGGCGTCCGCTGCTAACAGCGCCCAGAATCGTGGTAACAACTATCACTGCGAACTGTGTGACGTCACCTGTACTGGCACCGATGCCTATGCGGCTCATGTACGCGGCGCTAAGCATCAGAAGGTAGTTAAGCTGCATCAGAAACTGGGAAAGCCAATACCTTCTGATGAGCCCAAGAAAATGGGAAAGATTAACTTTGTGCCAGCTGCAGGGCCAAATGCAACCACTGCAGCTGCTGCAGCAGCAGGAACCAAGTCTGATCAAGCCGAATCTGATGCAACCGCAGGCGGTGGAGCAGCAACAGCATCTGAAAATATGGATGACAATATGGACGATTCGATGGGCGAGAACACGGACAACATTAAGCCCGTGGGCGGCGAGTACATTGAAGAGGTCAAGGACGATGAGGGCAAAATACTTAGCTTCAATTGTAAGCTGTGCGATTGCAAGTTCAACGATCCGAATGCCAAAGAGATGCACATGAAGGGCCGTCGCCATCGCTTACAATACAAGCGCAAAGTTCAGCCAGACTTAGTTGTCGATTTTAAGCCCACACCGCGTCAGCGTCGTCTGGCCGAGGCGCGTGCCCAACGAGCGCTCATGTCCTCACATCGTGGTGATGAGCATGAAGGAGGCAACTACTGGGATGAGCAGCGCAATCGTCAATACAATGAAGAGTATGACTATAATAATTGGATGTCCCGCAGCTTTGGAGGTAATTCATTTTAATAAGTTGAATAAAATGTATATATTATCATTAACTTTGATCACAGGGGCCCAGCGCTTTGGTCGCATGGGCAATGGACCTCCGCCACACTTTGGCATGATGCCTGGCGGCGGAAATGTGCGTCGTCCGGAGAGCACCGACGATCGTCACGCTATAGCGCGTCATGCTGAAATCTATCCAAAGGAGGAAGAACTCCAGACTATACAGCGCATTGTGTCGCACACAGAACGCGCTCTTAAACTCGTCTCGGATACTTTGGCTGAGCTGCCAACGCCAGCTGCGGGCAGTGATAGCGAACCGGCCGCTAAAAAAGAGAAGGCCGATAAAGCATCGGAAAAGGATGGACGAGATAATCAAATATTCTCATTCCACAAAGAAGCCGACAATGGTGGAAATGTGGTGCGCATCCTAAAGGGTGTCATGCGTGTTGGCTTCTTAGCCAAGGGACTGCTGCTGCATGGCGACACAGCGGTCGAACTGGTTGTTCTCTGTGCAGAGAAGCCAACGATAAGTCTGCTGCAACGTGTGGCCAATGTGCTACCCGATAAGCTCAAGGAGGTTGCAGGTATGTTGTAGAGCATTTGGCAATCGTCCATCACATACAATATTTACATGCATAACTATATCCCTTGATATATATACACTTATATATATATTTCGGTGTCCATTGTGAATATTGATTGCAAAAACTTTTTCCAGAGAAATGCCTATAAAAAGATGCAGATTCTTAATTTCTCTAGTCCAGAAATCACAAATGTATCATGGATATGTCTTAGGCTCTACACAAATGCTCACACATTACATATCTTCTTGCAACTTCACATCTTCTCTTTAGGAAATGTTTGTTTTGAATAACTTTTTTTTATTGTTTGTCCGATACGGATAAATATATTTAAATTGTGTAGATTTAGCTAAAGTATGAAAATTTGATGGGCTCGTTACAAACGTATAATACCCTTTGCTTTATTCTTTATACACAAATAATAATATACCCTTTGCATATTGGCTAAATATTGTGTGGAACAGAGTTATAGTTGTAGCTCTTAAAGGAACAACATTTACAAGAACATTTACAACATATTTATAATTATATAAAGTGATAAAAATACAAATTCGACAATAAATAAAACTTAATGTGATACCAAGACATATCCATGTCAAAGAAAAATCTAAATAAAACAATCGCGACAAATTGCATAATCAAAAGCAGCAAATCCAAAACTTACAAAACTTCTGCCTGGCCAATTTCACAATGCTGAAACTGAATCAGAAACAGAATGTGAATTTCGCCGAGAGAGTATATAAATTTCGGAGCGCCATAATGAATGCTAGTAAAAGCAATGCGAAAGCAAGTAAACAAATTATAAATTACGAAAGCACAACTAATGTGATGTACTATATTCAATATATCAATTTAGTTTCGTTTGAAATGCGCAATTTGTGTGGAAAAAGTGAAATCATTGTTTGAATTAATGTATGTACATACTCTACTACTACTACCTACCACCTACTACTATTACTACTACTACTACTAGTTGTACTACTGTTGAGCCCTGTTGTTGTTGTTGCCGTGATGGATTTGAAATTGTTTGACGACCAGAACCAACAGCAACAAACAGATACAACGAACAACAGCAGCCTAAACAAAGCCGAACAACAACAACAATAGCAAGCAAAAAAACCAAAACAAAAAATAAAAAATATATAAACGTATTTGCCGTTTTCAGCTTCTCTTCACTGCAGGATTTGAGATTTGAGCCCTTAGCCATATTGAGATGCTATCCACTCACACTACTCACACTCAGGTGTCTGTTAGCCGTCTATAGCTTTCCAAGTCTGCTGCTGCTGATACCAACTGCTACTGCTACTGCATCTGCTGGTGGTGGATAACAATCAACGGATCTCGTAATCGTAATGGTAACACACTCTCTAACCCGCGGATGCCCATGCGGATGCGGAAGAGTTCATATGTGTGGAACAATGAAACTTAACAAAATGAACAGACAAAACAATCGAAACCAAAGGAATATATTTATACAAAGTTTGGGTGCTCGCTCTGTTGTGCTCTGTTGTTGTTCTACTGTACACGTATACACACAACGCACACACACACACACTCTCACTCTCATATTTTTCCCCATTCTCCACTTCCAATGCGATGAAACTTTGTGTAAATAAAGTCCTTTGAGATATATATATTAAGCTCAAAGCAGCTATACATATTAATATAAAAGTAAAAGAGCCGACCTGAAGCAATGCGATTGATCCACACAGACAGACGCATAGAAGGCGTACACACTCATGGAATATATAGAATTTGTGTACCATATATGTACAATGTACAATCTATATAGTTTTATCAACCAAAATTGTTGCGCCCCTTTCTAAATGGGCAGCTCTACTAGCTTACTAGAGAATCGATGCCTCTTCAAGCTGCCGTTTTGTGTGTATCAAACTTGATTGTAAAAAAAAGAAAGAAAAATCGAACGAAAAATTGCGACCGAAATTTATGTTGCGAACGGTGAATGCTGACCGGACCGATGATTAATTGAGTGAGCCGCAAATAAACGAAAAATTTCGGTCAATGTTTTTAGTTTTGTTTGCAAAAAAAAACTAACCAAAAATGACAACAAAAAACACAGCCAGCCACGCGCTCTAAGTGGAATTGCAGCTCCAATTTTTCAATTTCAATTCTTGCAATTCCGTTTATGAGGCCCAGGTGGAGGTGGCGGTGGTGTCGTCGCTTTAACTGCTGGCTAAACCGGTCCGATCCCAGCACGCAAGTCATTAAACAACGTTAAATAATCGTTCTATATATAATTATACATGTATACATATATATAAAATATATATATATGTTTGTAATATGTACGTTTGCTGGGAACTGAGCGGAATTTATCTGTGGAACGTAGGAAGAAACAAACATTTACATTTTGCTTATGATTATCAGATGTGCACCTTCATGTCTTATATACCTATATATATACTTTGTGGGCCCACACATAAATTTATCTATTGTATCTATCTAACAATGTTTGTCTCTTTTCTAAGCCGGACGTAATTTTTACTGCTTATATTATAGTTAAGTATTGATTGTCATTAACCGATGGCCAAACACTCTCCGTTCTAGGTGAAACACCAGTCAACTATCGCGTTGAGGTGAATGCGGATGAAGCTGCTGTAATAGTGCTCGATGAAGTGGTCGCTGTGAAGATTACACTTACTTCGCCGCTGCTCCGTGAAACCGGCGATCCCGTTTCGAAATCCGAGGATGGGGCATCTACATCTGCAGCTGCCGAAACAGACTTTCTGCCACGTGAGCCTTGTCTGCGGGTGAGTACTCGACGTCCATACATATAAGGATTTTATATTTAATGCTTGTATATTAGGCACTCGCCGATTTACGGCATGCCAAATGGTTCCAGGCACGTGCTACCGGACTCCAATCTTGTGTGATGGTTATTCGCATATTGCGCGATCTTTGCCAGCGCGTTCCGTCGTGGCAATCGCTACCACAATGGTCGTTAGAGTTGCTAGTGGAAAAAGTTATCTCATCGGCTGGTTTCCCCATCTCACCCGGTGACTGTTTGCGTCGAATTATGGAGGCTTTGTCTTCGGGCTTTTTAATCAATGGTCCCGGCCTGTTAGATCCATGTGAAAAGGATCCAACCGATGCTCTGCAGCAGCTCACCAAGCAGGAGCGTGAAGATCTCACTGTGTCGGCACAGTTATTCCTGCGTTACATTGCTTTCCGTCAGATGTTCAAAGTGCTTGGCATGGATCAACTGCCGGCCATGAAGTATCCAATGCGCCCGTGGCGCATTAATCGCAAGCGACGCCGCTCATCAGGCAAAGCTGGTGCACCCGGTGGTGAAACAGATCCTGCCGACATCGAGGAGACTGGCTCCGATGAGAAAGTGGCTAAGAAGGATATAAGCGCAAGTGCTTCAACTGCCACAGCTTAAGTGCTAAGCAATCAGCAATAGGAATACATAACCGTCAGCAAATATAATATAACAAATTTTTTCTCAATCTAATTGCGCTCTAAAATGCGATGAATAATAACTATAACACTTTCACACTAATTAAAGTTGGACACGAATATTGATTGTGTCCATTAAATTGCCCTATTTGAAAGCAACAAGAACATTAAATACAATTCCCATACTAACAATATTTAACTCAAAACAATTAGTTGCATTTTTCTATACTATGTAAAAATTAATGCAAAATGTAATCGATTAGCCGTGGAGGCGTTGATCCTCTATAAACATAAACTATAAACAGTTGACTGCCTCCACACCGCGTTTCAAACATTAAAAAAGATTAAAGAACAAATACAAATTTTAATAAAAATACATTAATTATATATTTATTTACTAAAGAAAGTTTTGCCACTTTGAGAAGGATTTGGTGTCAGCTACAAAATCGGTTTGTGCTTTACGCTTATTGGAACCGCTTTTCTTTTTGTAAAAAGAAGTGTTCTCCTGCTCATCTAGCTTTTTGGGGTCAATATGTCTATTTGGGCCAGAGCAAGTACCTGCAATCGGCTCATCGATGTACTCTGCCCATTTGCTTGAGCCACCAGAGCGGTGCGATGATTTCAGTTGATCTCCCGGCTCTGTCAATGAACGGTCCCCTAGGATTTCTTCGTGTACCTCCAAAATCTTCCGCTTTTCTTGTGCTTCCTTGCGTTCTCCACAATCCAGATTTAACTGTTGCACCTTTGCACGGCATTCAGCACCGGAACCGCGAAAATATTCCTTTTGTATCACCTGTTTAACACCGCATACCTTACATTCCCATCTATTTGCCTTCTTAACTATATCCACCTACATAATTAAGCATTCGTTTTATTAAATTATATAAAAAATGGTTGAGTATCATACCTGATATAAACTGCACTCAACACATTGTAAAACGCGAATTTGTTGAGACATATTTTGTGTTCCAATATTTTTAAACAAACGCCGCTATATGCGTATTACCAGGGATACCACATTATTTTTTCGATGTCAATCTGAACAGCTGATTCGAAGATGGCTCTGTTATGAGAATGTTAGCATCTGCTACTATTAATATATATATATAAAATTAAAACATTACTTTGACATTCTAGCTGCATTTTTTTTTAGCGCAAACTCATTAATTTATTCACTTAATAATTGTTTACATCTCTAATTCAACTAACTGTTAATGAGCTGAAAAACTATCATGGACCTCAATCTTCGAAGTGGCCCTCGCTGTTAATAACATTTCTGCCGAATGTTATATGCGGAACGCCAATTGTTTTAATTGTAATCAAATAGTCGCACGGCGTCACAGCGACTGGCAGTTTTTCAAAATGAGATTGGTATATAAAAAACACCTGAATAACAAGTGTTATCAAAGGAAATGACAATGTAAATTATTCTCAACTTTGTGTTCTATCTTTATAGTATTGCCTCAGCGGTGATTTGGCAAAACCATGCTACATCATCACATTCAAAGGACTGCGCATAATGCTTGACTGTGGTCTAACGGAGCAAACTGTGCTGAACTTCTTGCCACTTCCCTTTGTCCAGAGCTTCAAACTGTCCAATCTGCCAAATTTCGTACCCAGCAGCGATCATGATCCCCAAATGGATGGCGAGCTAAAGGAGTGTTGCGGCCGCGTGTTTGTGGACTCAGTACCGGAGTTTAATTTGCCCATGGACAAAATGCTTGACTTTAGCGAAATAGATGTAATACTTATCTCCAACTATCTGAATATGCTGGCACTGCCTTACATTACGGAGAATACGGGCTTTAAGGGCAAAGTCTATGCAACGGAACCAACACTTCAAATTGGTCGATTTTTCCTCGAGGAACTTGTGGATTACATCGAAGTGTCCCCCAAGGCATGCACAGCACGCCTGTGGAAGGATAAACTGCATTTGCTACCCAGTCCACTGAGTGAGGCTTTTCGTGCTAAGAAATGGCGCACCATATTCAGCCTAAAGGATGTCCAGGGCAGTCTCTCCAAGGTGACCATAATGGGCTATGATGAGAAATTGGATATACTTGGTGCTTTTATAGCAACGCCCGTCAGCTCGGGTTACTGCCTAGGCTCCAGCAATTGGGTACTTAGCACTGCGCATGAGAAGATTTGCTATGTCAGTGGCTCTTCGACGCTAACAACGCATCCTCGTCCCATCAATCAGTCAGCACTCAAGCACGCCGATGTGCTAATTATGACGGGATTAACACAGGCACCAACAGTCAATCCGGATACAAAACTGGGCGAACTTTGCATGAATGTGGCGCTCACGATAAGAAACAATGGCTCAGCCTTGATACCCTGTTACCCATCCGGCGTTGTCTATGATCTGTTTGAGTGCCTAACACAAAATCTAGAGAACGCCGGACTCAACAATGTGCCCATGTTCTTCATATCACCCGTGGCAGACAGCTCTCTGGCCTACTCCAACATTTTAGCCGAATGGCTGAGCTCGGCGAAGCAGAATAAAGTCTATCTGCCCGATGATCCCTTTCCGCATGCCTTCTACCTGCGCAACTCCAAGCTGAAGCACTACAGCCACGTCTTCTCCGAGGGCTTCAGTAAAGACTTTAGACAGGTGAGTTGACTCTTAACCGAAGCACAACTGTTTAAATGGCATCTACAACTGTTTCTATTACAGCCGTGCGTTGTCTTTTGCGGTCATCCAAGTTTGCGCTTTGGCGATGCAGTGCATTTCATTGAAATGTGGGGCAATAATCCCAATAACTCGATTATATTCACGGAACCAGATTTTCCGTACCTGCAAGTATTGGCTCCCTTCCAGCCGCTGGCTATGAAGGCTTTTTACTGTCCCATCGACACCTCGCTGAACTATCAGCAGGCCAACAAGCTGATCAAAGAGCTTAAGCCGAATGTGCTAGTCATACCGGATGCATACACAAAGCCGCATCCCACGGCACCGAATCTATTTATAGAGCAGCCTGATAAGAAAATCATTACTTTCAAATGCGGAGAGATTATCAGATTGCCGTTGAAGCGCAAGCTTGATCGCATTTATATTGCCTCAGAGCTGGCACAAAAGATCACGGCACGTGAGGTAGCAGCTGGTGTATCACTTTCCACACTCACAGGCGTGTTACAAGTGAAGGACAAGGTGCACTGCATCCAACCGTGCGCAGACAGCATTAAGGATGAGCCCGGCACAAGCGGCAGCGGCCTTAATGCCGTGGCGCCCTCCAAAGAGGATGTGCTCAAGAATATCAAATACGAGTATGGAACCATCGATGTGGATACGCTTATGAAGCGTTTGGCTCAGGATGGTTTCTCCAATATCAAAATGGATCGCAGTGGTGGCAACTTGACGCTGCAGCTAGTCAACGAAGACACGACCATCAAATTCGAGGACAATGAAACTCACATCATATGTGGCGGCAAGCCAACAACGCGTCTCAAGCTACGCGACACGCTTCTCAAATGCTTACAGAGCTTCTAACAAATCCTTTTTTAATAATATACAAAACGTATTACCTTTTACATAAATGACCTACACAACAATATTATTAAATTAATTCTTGGCAGATAATATTTCCGAGCATCTGCCGCAAATCGCATAATCTACAATGCTAAAGCGTCGACAACGAGGACAGAGCGACGCTTCCAACGTTTCCAGCCTAACCATAGCTATCTCCATTGATGAGTCTAGCTCAGACTCAACTGTAGCACTGCCCACTTGCAGAATCTCACAGAGCTCTGAATTCGCAACTGGCACAGTCAACTGACCATGCAATGCGGTGAGCATTTTCTGTTGTTCCGGTGAGCAGCATTTAATGCTCACGGCAAGATGCCAGCTATTGACATCGCCTGCCTGTTGGTTGACAAGCCGTTTGATATCCAATGCTGCATTTACTATTCGGCTAGCTTGGACATTTCTCCAATCCTTGTCAGCTTGCACTGTCTCCTCGTGAAAGGCACTGCCAGTCGGCTCGTAATAGCTCCAACTCTCCTCAGTTAGATACGGCGCTATGGGCCACAATGCCTTGCAAATTTGCCTGTAGCACTGGGTGAGCGTGTAGCGAATATCCTGCAGCTCCTGCTTGTTGCCACAGTACAGACGATCCTTAATCAAATGCACGTATATGCTTGATACCTGATTCGCAATGAAATTCTGAATGCAAGCCACAACGCGATTGTACTCATATGCATTATAGAGTTTCTCGATCTGTAGCAATTGAGGATATTGAAATATTTGTTTTTATACTGAATCCATTGTAGACATACCTCCTCCTCGAATTCCACCAGGCTATGCAAGAGGAATTTATTCAAATAGCTATCATTTATGGACATGCACAGCTTCTGCTCCTTCTGATTGATGACTCCGTTGAGGTACCGCAGTGTTCCGCGCACCTTACTTAGATTCTCGGCTGCCTGTTGCATCAGCTCATCGCTGACTGTGATGGACATATGTTGAGTGCCATGCGACGCTACCCACCAACGAAGGACATCGGTGCCATATTTTTTAGTTATTTCCTTGGGCGAAATGACATTGCCCAATGACTTCGACATCTTATGTCCCTTTTCGTCCACTGTAAAGCCATGTACAAAAAGAGCTCTGCAAGAGACAAATTAATATGGATACTTTGCTTTATTTTTGATAGGACCAACTCACCTGTAGGGCGCGCAATTGCGAGCAGCTATGCTGGTTAAGAGCGACGATTGAAACCATCCCGTGAACTGATCGTAGCCTTCCAAATACAGATCAGCTACTTGTTGTGGCTGATCTTTTAGTACCGCAGACCAAGTGCTACCCGAATCAAACCAAATGTCAAATATGTCGTTGCCTTTGCAAAGCTCCTTTGCTTCACAACCCAGTTGCTTTAAGAGCTGGTCCGGTAGCAGTTCTTCCAGGGACTTGGACCACCAAAAATCCATTGAACCCTCGCTTCGCAATAGCCCACACAGGTGCTCAATCAATGCACCATTGAGCACCACCTGGTTGTTGTCTCTCTTGTACAGCACAGGGATGGGCACACCCCAGGCACGTTGCCTTGAGATGCACCAATAGGGCCGCTTGTGCAGTTGAGTCAGCAGCGCTTTTTTACTAGATTCAGCATTGACACGGGGATAGATTTGCACACGTTCCAGGGCGGCAGCTGCAGGCGCCTTCAGTTTATCCGTATTGATGAACCACTGTTCGCTTGCTCGGATTATCACTGGTTGCTTGGTACGCCAGTCAATTGGATAGGAATGCTCGAACTGGGATGCATGCACAACGTCATCGGCAATGTGTTGCAGCACCAGGGGATTTCCCTGCGCCAGTACTGACTGACCACGCAAAAATTCGGGAGCTTCCTGAGTATAGATGCCCGATTCATTAACGTAACACTTGACGGGCAACTTGTTGGCCAAGCTAATCAGAAAGTCATCTGGTCCGTGAGCCGGAGCTGTGTGCACCAAGCCCGTGCCCTTAGTATCCTGCACATGCGTAGCCTCAAAGAATGGCAGTTTTCCTTGGGTTTTGTCAATGGGATGCTGATAGCTACAATCCTTTAATGCGCTACCAGGCAAGCGTTCCACAACCTCACACTTCAGTTGCGTGCTGTTCTCAAAGTGAGCTACCAGCGCTGAGGCCATAAGGTAAAGTTCATTTGGGTTGCGATCTAACAGCTTGACCAGCACGTACTCCAACGAACTATTATAACAGATTGCCTGATTACTAGGCAGTGTCCAAGGCGTTGTTGTCCACACTAGCGCATAGACTTGTTTTCCCTGAGCAGCTTCAGCAGCTGCTAAGCCATTTAAAACGAGACGTAAGTAAACAGAAGGGCTAACGAATTTCGGATCATACTCCAGTTCCGCCTCTGCCAGAGCAGTTCTATAAGAAGTACGATTAAGAGAAACAATTATCAATTAATTTAAGATATGCTTACTTGGAGGAGGGTGACCAGTAGACAGGCTTGAGATCACGATAAACAAGTCCGCGCTCGTACAGACTGTAAAACATTTGCAACTGGTTTGCAATAAACTCTGGCTTGAAGGTCAGGTAGATTTGCTCCGGCTGCCAGCTGGCCAAAATGCCCCAGCTGCGAAAATCTGCCTTTTGCGATTCGATGGCCTCCAAGGCAAATGCACGCGCTGCACGGAATGGGAAAGAGTTATACAACTTATAACCTCTACACAGGCAAACTCACATTTTTGCCGTATTTCTAATGCACTCCGCTCGCCCGTCGCAGCACTCGTTGCCTTCAACTCAATGGGCAAGCCGTGGCAATCCCAGCCGGGAATGTAATTCACTTGCTGTCCATGTGCCACGCGCTGACGTAACGTAATATCCTTGAGTATTTTGTTAACAGCATGACCCATGTGCAGCTGGCCATTGGCATACGGCGGTCCATCGTGTAGCACAAAAGCGGGCTTACGTTTGTGCTGTTCCTGGTACTGGTAAGCGGACGCAATCTTATGCTGTAAAGAACATTTAATCAATTTTAACTGCAATGCGCTCTAATAGGCATACTAGCTCACATCCAGAATTTCTCGTTCCAGTTCCTCACGTTTGGCTGCACTTAAACGGTTCGGAAGCTTGGTTCTGGGCAGGTTTATTGTATCAGTATACTTATTGGCATCCTTTTTCACCGGCTTCACAGAATAAAGGCGTATGCCCAGACGAAATTGAACCGCACGAAACATTCTGTACGTAACCAAAACAATTTAGCCGGTTCAAATAAAATCAGCTGTTCGAACAGCTGATTACTGTTCGACAGACTGCGCGACATATTTAATTTTAAAAAAATTCATATTAACTGACATTAAAGAATAACATTAACATTAAAAAATAATTTATAATATTTCTTATGCTTACTAAATAGTTTTCTTCATTTTATTTAATGCAAATAAACAAAAAAATATTTATGAATTTCAATCAACAGTCATTTATTTGTAAAAATCTATATTTTCATCGAAATAGTATAAATTCAATTGCAATGATAATTGTTATATGGTAGCAGAAAATCTATTTCTTCTTGTCTTTGGGATCGTCTTTCTTGTCCTTGGCTTTGTCATCTTTTCCCTTTTCTGGCTTCTTTGCATCTTTAGCCTCTGCCTTGGGTGGCTTGGCGTCGGCCTTAGCTTTCGGATCGACCTTTGCTTTCGGATCGGCCTTAGCTTTCGGGTCCTCCTTTCCTTTCTTGTCATCTTTGGGCGCTTCCTTGGGTTTGGGGGGTCCATCGGCGGCCATGCTTGTTGCCAACTGATTTGCTTTGGCCAGAACTTCATCAATGTCCCCGACCATATAAAATGCTATTTCCGGTATGTCATCGTATTCGCCATTTAGCAGCCGCTTAAACCCATCCACAGACTTCTCTACAGGCACTAGCTTGCCGGGAGTGCCAGTGAACACCTCAGCGACTTGGAATGGCTGAGAGAGGAAACGTTGCATTTTGCGAGCCCTTGCCACTGTTAGCTTGTCCTCCTCAGAAAGCTCATCCATGCCAAGAATGGCAATGATGTCCTGCAATGACTTGTATCCCTGCAGTGTTTTCTGCACGGCCCGGGCGACATTATAGTGCTCGTCACCCACAATATCGGGATCGAGAACACGGGATGAAGAGTCCAACGGATCCACAGCTGGATAAATACCCAATTCGGCAATTGGGCGGGACAGTACAGTAGTTGCATCCAAGTGGGAAAAGGTAGCAGCTGGCGCCGGATCAGACAAATCATCTGCCGGCACATAGACCGCTTGCACAGAAGTAATCGAACCATTTTTAGTACTGGTAATGCGCTCTTGCATGGTGCCCATGTCTGTGCCGAGCGTGGGCTGGTAGCCAACGGCGGAGGGTATACGACCAAGCAGCGCGGACACCTCAGAGCCAGCTTGAGTGAATCGGAATATATTATCTATGAAAAGTAGTACATCCTGTCCATCAATATCCCGAAAGTATTCAGCAATAGTTAGACCAGTCAACACAACCCGACTGCGAGCGCCAGGTGGCTCATTCATTTGGCCATAGACGAGCGCCACCTTCGACGTATCATCCTCTAGAGAAATAACTTTGGTCTCGATCATCTCATGGTACAGATCGTTGCCCTCTCGGGTACGTTCTCCGGCACCAACAAACACTGAATAGCCGCCATGGGACTTGGCAATGTTATTGATGAGCTCCATAATTAACACCGTTTTTCCAACACCAGCTCCTCCAAAGAGACCAATTTTTCCGCCCTTTACATAGGGTGCAAGTAGATCAATCACCTTGATGCCTGTGACTAAAATCTCAGGCTTTACGCTCAATTCCTCCAGGAGTGGAGCTTCATTGTGTATAAATGAGTAAAACTCGCTCTTTATCTCGCCGCGCTCGTCTATTGGATCACCCACCACGTTTATGATGCGACCCAATACAGTTTTGCCCACAGGCACCCTAATTGGGTACCCAGTATCAATGACTTTCTGTCCACGTCTGAGCCCGTCCGTGGAATCCATAGCGACGCACCGGACAACATTGTTGCCTAGATGATGAAAGACCTAATTGTCCATTCGCTTTAAAAAAATATCAAATTACTCGAATAAACAGATCTTACCTCTAATACTAAACGACCAATAGGGGCGTCTTGTACTTCCATGGCATTCAGCACTTCTGGCATCTCATCAGGAAAGTAAACATCGATTACTGGTCCAATGACAGCGTGAATTATGCCCTCTCTACCTTTCCCAACCAACTTTGACTTATCTCCGCCACCTTCCTTTCCACCTTTTGCGCCACTTTCACAAGAATCTTTTGTGCCTGTTCAACAGAGGTTATATTCAAGTTAGCGATCGCCAAATATTTGCAATTTTCACTTACTTTCTTCATCCGGACAAGACTTATTACATTTGTCGTCGTCATCCTTCAGCAGAGGCGTACTATAAAGGCAACGCCTCTGCAATGAAAAGTTAGCCTTTGCTGGTTGGCCAACTTGACGATTTACCTTAAGGCCGACTTTAGTGCAAGCTGCAAATAATTAATTTAATTTAACTTCACATGAAGAAAGCGAAAAGTCTAAAATCTTACCCGTTGCCAATCTAGACAAGATCTGCATTTTTAACAAATTAAGCTTTATTATTCCACAGAGAAAAAAAATGGATATTCTTTAACAAAATTTATTATCTTTTAATTGCTTTCAATTAGATTTATTTTTTATTTCTCAGCACAGTTTTATTTGCAACTGACTCGATTCTGTTTGCAAATGAAAGGTTCTCCTTCTGTGACAGCTTCAATTTGATGTTTTTCCAAGGACTACTGAGAATAATCCGTTAGAGATTGAACCAAGTACTTAAAACACGATAGGCTCATCGATAAGTATAAGTTGTTACCGATAGGTTAACAATATAGGGAAATTGATCGATAGCCTATAAATTCTAACGGAAATTTTAAACAATTTAGGTTTTAGGTTTGGTGAGCATGGGTAGTTAGTAGTTGCTATGCCAACGGCTGACTGGTGTTGTGTCCACAGAAAAGTGAATTGGTTGCAGAATGGATGTACTTTCGCATTATAGCTCTCCTGTGATCGAATTCCCAGCTGCACAGCCGCTAGAAAAGCAAAGTGTACTGGTAGACAATTGCACTGGCACGGATCCTCCGCCACCCCATGTAGACACGGCTACCGAAACACAGCAGAAGCAGCATGTGTCCACACAAACCGAGCAAAGCTGCAGCAGCAGTAGTATTAAAAATGTGGAATATGACGAGCGTGCCTTGGCCAAATGGCTGCGGCAGATCTGCCCACTGGTGGAGCAGGAATTAAGTGAACCAACGCCACTCATGGAGGAGCAGCAGTCAAATCAGGTTACTTTGCAGGAGCAGCTGCAAGTGCACGCTTACCAGAAGCTAACAATGAGCAGCATTGAGAACTCGCAAGGATTGGCCATTTGGCTGTGCGTGCACACCAACAATGCGCCCGTACTGGTGGTCACAACTGTAGCACCTCACGACGATTGGTGCGAACATATGGAACAGCAGCTGAAACTCTTTGTGCCGCAGCGTATGCCCCATGGCAACTTTGTAGTATACTCAGAGGCCAAAGCTTTACCTCTCAAATCGTGTTTGCGCAGCCTTTGCACAAATAATTTTAATAAGAATATCTTTGCCGGCGCCACTATGGATGGAGAGCTCTTCGTTTGGCTGTACGAACAGGCAACAGCGGAAATCAGACAGTTGCACAGCGTTTCCTCTACACAAGGCGCTGCTGTGGCGCTCGATTGGGTCACGGAGCAACGCCTGCTCGCCTGCTATGCTAACGGCACAGTGCACCAATGGTTGGTGGCTCAACAAATGACCTTGGATTGGGAGTAAGCTAACAGCAGACAAAATAAAAACTTTCTATAGATGTGTTCTTTAGATATTCCCTGCCAGCTTTAGTTGGTGCAGAGCTAACGACCATGGTGTCTCTCGGCCTGGACGACTTCGTGCTGGGTACTAATAGTGGAGGCGTCTACCGTTGCTGGAGCTCAGGTCGGCAGCCGGCCTTAGATAGATCCAGCAAGCAATTCCAGTTGCTCTCACTCCGCAAGCATCGTTTCATGGTATCCACGCTGCTGAAGACGCTAATGGATGGCCACCAAATTGTGGTCAGCTGCGATTTGAGTGGCCAGGCCTACTATCATGATATGCGACACGAAGAAGAGGTATGTATGAGAATGTGTATATGTAGGTCAACATATATGTAAAAGCATTTTTATTCTCTTATAGGACACTGCGCAATTGATTGTGCAAATTCCGTTGCCTTTTAAGAACGCCATCGCCTGCAGCCGTGATGCCAACATCATCTACTGCCCTAGCAATGACGGCGCCTTGGAGTATTACAGGATCAGCGATGGTGCCCATGCTCACGCAAAGGGTGGCCTACGTGGTCGCGGACACTTCATACGCATCAGCGACAATGGCTGCTGGTTGATCACAGGCCTCTATGGAAATGAGTTTCAAATATTCTATATTGAGAGTAATTTAAGAGAGTAACTAAAAGTAACTACCGTTAAGTTAATAACTTATTGCATTTATTAATATTTGTGTTTCATTGTTAAGCCTTGCCACTCGGTTTCTTGCTTGAAATTATTAGCTTTCCACAGAATCCAGATACCTTTTCACACAAGACAATCAGTTTTCTGCTGAATCCTAATGGTTTCTGCATAGCAGTAGACTTCATATCATTCGAGTTGCTCGACATGGCCTCGACCTGGTTTTCACTCATGTCGACGTTACTCTCTCTTTGACCTGATAGTTCTGTCTTATAGATGGGATTTTCACAGGACGTAGATGTACTGAAGACAATCTCGTTTTTATTATGCGTTGTCGGCTCTTCACTGGGTTGACTGTAGATTTGTTGTGCTCTACCGTATTCTTCCGTACTGGAGGCGGTCTGCTTTACATCAGGCCTTCTGTCATAAGAGTCTTTGGGCTCAACAATGGGCGAGCTGATTGTGTAGCCAGTCACTTTTTTATAGGCTATCGGTTGGTCACACAAATATGAAAGATTTTCACAGGAAGAACACTGATCTTTATGGCTGGAAGCTGAAGGCTTATTTGCTGTACTTTGCTTTCTATTGGACGTCGGATTTTGAGAAGATGAAATAGTCTCTCTTTTATTTGCGGCGGGTGTATTTATACAGCCGGCGCTCATATGATGTGTCGGAAAATTTGGATTATTGAAAGATGTCAAACTTACACATAAGCGAGTCCAACCCTCACTACCTGAGCTCTCACTGACTGCAGTATCTTCTAATCCAGCGGAGCTTTCATTAGATGAACTAAAATTTTGTCTGACGGCAGTGGGCTCTTCACTGCCACTACTAATTTCTTTATCTGCCAATGCATATTGTTTATAAGAGGCATTTTGCTTTCGGCGAATAAATGGTTTCTCAGTCGATACGTTTGGGTACTCAAGAGAGTTAGTCTCTTCGTTTCTGCTGACAGTCGCTATTTGTCTGGAAACAGCCCGATTTTTATGGGAAACTTCATGAGAGACTGCCGCTTTCTTATTGGAACTAACTGTTGTTTCACTAGAGCCAATAAATAAACCGGCATTCTCCTCATCGGAGGAATTCTCATTCACATTAGAGTCTCTCTCCTTTTCACTAGGGATGGTCTCCTCATACTTGGAGGCACACTCCTCTTGATATGGTGCCGCCTGCTTGGTAGTAACAGTATTGGACGATCTATTGTTTGATTCGCCTGCGTGCTTCATTATAAACATTTCAAAAGAACTTTTATCTCTCGAGCATGGTTGCTTAACGCATTTGAGAGAGGCTTCCGCATCATTATCGTCGACAGACAGAGTTGGGCATATCGTCCTATTTCTTTTCCTTTTGGACGTTACCATTGTTATATCAATAGTTTTGTCGTAGTCTCCCGTCTTCTTAAAAAAAGTCGACCCGCTATGAAATAAATTATCTGTTTTCAATGGGAGCCGATGTCCATGAGAATGACTCTCGCCTTTATGACAAGTTTGAAACCCAATTTTGGGACATGCTTTATAAATAAAGCCAAATTAATTATAGAAAATATATAATTTTCTTGTCTGCTAATCTTACCTTTGGCAAATCGCAAAACCGTGAACATCTTTCTAAATTAAAATTTTCTGTGACTTTGTTAATTTTTCAACATAACTGAATATAAAATAAATGATAAATAACTATGAAATGATGAATGCCTCCATACCTAGGCAAAATAAAAATGAATTTTGGTGCAAAGTTTGTTTACATAAACTTTCAAATATTCAAGTATTGCTTTTTACTACTAATGACGTTACCCACATAGAAGTAATGTATATATAATATCTGATGTACATAAAAGTAGTATATAGAATATGTTTCATATAATATAGACTTTTATATAGCTTCGCTTAAGTTTATTAATGGTTTCATCATCTTTCAATGCTATTTACACGAGTTTAGATTAAAATTTCACAGATGTCTAACAAAATACAATATTGGTATATATATATATAAGGTATGAACGAAATGCAAAACCATATAATTCATTCTCGTTAACTTTCTATTAAATAAAATCATTTCTTTCATACTATTGCCTGTGCTGCCAGCTTAAAAATTGCTTTAAATCAAAAAATATTTTCAAACATGCGCGTGATGTACAAAGGTATATAAAAATAGGATGATTACATATTATTAAAATAAATGTAGACAATATTATTTTGATTGCGTTTACAAATGATAATAATTACAGAGTGGAAATTATGAATATGCTGCGAAATTTTGCACTAGTTTTTAATAAATTATACAATTAACATTAACGACACAAACATATATTTATGTGTATAGTTATATACCAATTAATATATACTATACATATGTATATATGTATATAGTAGTACTGCACACAATTTTGCTAAATCCATCACGCTATCCGATTCCGTTCGTAAATTTCCTAATCACTTTACTCGTGCTCTCAACTTTCCGCTTATTCATATGAAGTTTTGTTGGTTTTGCGATAATAGTACACATAAWAATAATAATAATAATAGTAATAATAATAATAACTAGGCATCTGCCTGATTGGCTAATAAATTCAACTTAATTAAAGAGCACAGTATTGGGATCTTCATTATCCATTTGTTTAACATGCCGTAGTACATCCTTTTTCGTTATAACACCCAACAAGCGACTGCAAATAGTTACAAATATTGTTTAATTATTTCTGCAATCATTGTATTAATGTAATAATCTACTTACCCATTATGTGTGACAAGCGTTTGACGCAGACCCAGTTTACGGAACATGTCGACCACAGTTTCCATGGGCGTTTGATCGGTCACCGTGATGGGCGCCATATCAAGAATTTTCTTTAATTTAAGTGGTGGCGGTCCCAGATTTTGAGTGGGTGTCGTGGATGTAAATAATACTATAGAATTACTATTGATGCCCTCGACAAGACGCTTTGCGTTACCTGACAATGAAGAATGACTTAAATATATGCAACTTGAAAAGATAAGTAATTAGCTCACCAATAGCCAAGTTAAGATCCCTGCGCAGTACAAAGCCAACTAAATATTGATTTTCTCTAGACACAACGACAGGATAGCCATTGTGCTCGGTCTCCTTAAGCAGATTCTCAACATCTTCCACCGTCATGGAATCCTGTGTTATGACATTTAATGTTTCATTGCGCTTTGGCTGCATGACATCTGCTGCCAGCGTTGTATGCGCAAATTCCTCTTTACTGTCAAGGAATGGATAACCATTTAAGGCAATATGCGCATCGTATATTCCCTGTCTGCCCAGCGCATCGCCAACCCACTTAGAGGCCATGGCAGCCGCCATTAATGGCACAATATAACGCACTCCGCCAGTTAGCTCGAACATTATGACCACCAAGGAGACAGTCATACGCGTTACTCCGCCAAGCACAGCGGCAGCGCCGACAACCGCATACAATCCTGGTGTTATTAGATTGCTATCCGCACACTCTCCGGTGAAGAACCAAATGTTAGGATAACTGTACGCAAATTGCTCCACACCGATGCCAACAATGCGACCCATGATGGCGCCCAACAGCAGCGATGGTATAAACAAACCCGAGGGCACTTTTATACCGAACGTAAATATGGTCAGTGCCAGCTTTAGAACAAATGTCAATACCAGCAGCCAAATGGAACGATATACGCCGGGACCTGGCTCTGTAACCTCTATAAAACTACTTCCTGTACTGATATTCATTCGCTTGTAATCACTGTCAGATAATAACAATAGCATTAGTTTTAGTTTATGCCCAAGCTGTAAAACGGGTATACTTACCACAAAGGATTTGAGTCTCCGGACGAGCACTTGCTAACCAACAGAAAGATGAGCTCGTTCATGTTCATGCGTGTGAAAGGATTCGGATAGCAAATGATGGCAGTTACCAACGTAACAAAGAGCACTTCACTAACAGGATATTGGCCCAACTTACTAAACTTTCTGTAGCGGCACCACCACAAGTTTGCCTTTATAAAGAACGTGCCAATGACACCCTGAAAGACATACAAGGAAATAAATAACAACATGTCATTTGTATTTAAATATGCTACTTACACCCATGATGCCCAGAAAGACGAACGGAATCAGCTCAAAGAATATCCAAGGTTTGTTATATTCCACAAAGAACAGCACGGAATGTTCATTGCCAAATGGCGTCAGTGATCGAAGAACAAAAGCAGCAATAAGCGCACAGAAGAATGAGCGCCACAGAGTCTTCAGTGGAAAGTAATAGGACACTTCCTCCAGCGAGAACAGAACTCCGCCTATAGGCGCTCCAAAAGCAACAGAGACGCCAGCGGCAGATGCTGCTGATAGAATTTCACGCTTTTTGGCCTCGTTTCGCCCATATTTGGGAAAGAGATGCGAAAATATATTGCCAATACAGCTAGCAATGTGCACCATTGGTCCTTCCTTGCCAAGTGTCAGACCTGCAGACACGGAGAGCATCAAACCCACCGATTTGATCAACAGAGTCCATTTGCCTAAATAGCCGCGTATGATAAAGCCCGACAATATGGTCTTAATCTCCGGTATGCCAGATCCGCAGGCATAAGGGGCAAACATGCGCACCAGCGACGCGCTTAGTGAGGCAAAAAGCAATGCCCATAAAATATATAAGATATACGATACAATATTCGGACCCGTGCCTGTGCGATTAAGCCCAAAGAGCTCCGGCCACGTCTTCCACTAAAATGAAAGTATGTTAATGATGGTGTTAGACTGAATTTTCATTTAATAAGACTTACCATGGAACAATTTCCCTCCTCGAAGACAGACTGTTTATCTGGATAGCAACATTGTTCGCGATTAAACCAAAAGGCAGTCGGACATATTCCGTGCTTCAGATCTGACATCCAGCTAGCGCCTATATCCACCATGCCCGCAACACAGCCCGCCGCAATGCCCACAAGCAGCACGCATAGCCAGCCAGAGCCTGCGTCAATAGCTCCCTGCAAAAGTAGATGAGTATTAGTCGTGATAACATGGAGAGATTGGGGCATATAATTTTTACTTTTATCAAATCCCAAAGTGAATCCTGTCGCTTTTTGACTATGTAACGATGTCGCATGCGATCGCGAGCAATATCCCGCTGCCAATCGATGGTATGAAAGTCCTCGTACTGCCCAATGCCCGGTATCTCATCATGTACCTCCGAGGAGCCGTAGAACGATAGTGCTCCTAAAGTGAGAGACATTATCGCAAAGTAGAGTGCTTTGATTTAAATTGCTCATTTGCTAAACACATTTTGAATGTGATACTTGATTCTTGAATAGTGGCTGTAAACAATCAGCTATCAATATTACAAAACAAAGCTAGGACTCTAAAATAACGTTATGCTTTCAGTGAAAAATTTCTTATCGACGATATAACAATACAACAGCTTGCAGTTATTTTTAACTAGGAATACAGACTGGAATCGTGCACATGTTGTGTATATTATTAATAATTAAACGAAATTAATGGAAACGAGTGGGAATGGCCCGCATACATATGCAAACACATACTCGTACATGTGTATATGTATATTAATATCAATAAAAGCAAGTACAGTCACAATTGTTGTGACGTCTCCCGGGCTAACGAGATTAAGATGATAAGTGAGATAAACAAACACTGATTTCTTATGTTGATCTCGTTTTGATACTCACCATCCATGGGGTCGCCGAAAGCGTTGTGAGTTGGCACATGTTGATGTTGATGATGATGATGATGGTGCATTGCTCGCTGATTTGGCGCAAAGTCGCGTTCCGTATCCGATTCGGTGACAGTCTCACGATGATAGCCGCTGGAGCCGCCGATAAGATCGCCTGGACTAGAACGTGGCGTTATATCAATCATATCCTCGTCGTCTGTGTTTGCGGTGAGTGACGTGGTTGCCGCTGCCGTATATGATTGCTTTGAGTGTGGGGCCAAAGGATGATCGCCGTCTCCTGCTCCTATGCTATGGCCATTTGACTGTAAAATCGATAATTCAGTTTATCAGTTTAACGCTATTCATGTACTTTGCACAGCATATTAACACTAGGCGACACAATAATTATTTGCTCACGCACAAACATATTGATAGGCTTAAATGGTATTTTTGGCTTTTAATGTCTCCAAAGGCAAGGGGGCGGAGTGGGGTAGGGTGTACATGCGGCTGCTCAGCTGTTTAGCCCTGACACCCACGTAGACACTTTTCAAAACTTAATTCCGCCCCTAAAATGTGCACAAATAATTCATGTATGAGCACATATTTTATATGCAGCTTATTTCGTATCACGTTGACTGGCAGCACTAGACTCTTACATACCTTTTTCATGACTGTTTGATATGCGGTTATGTAGTTGTTGCCTTCCGCTGCAGCCTCTCTGCTACCTTTTAATGGAAATTTGTCCATTTTTATTAAAACGTAGTATTTTAAATGCGTGTATTAAAGCGTCGCTTTGTTTGGTATTTCAGTGATTATGGTAAATCTCTTCTTTTCTTTTGCGTTGCAATATTGCAGCTGGTTATTTTTGTTTTTTTTTTTTTTTTTTTCTTTTCTTTTTTATATTACTCTTTACATATTTTAATTGGTATTAGTGCATAACAAGTGCAACCAGACGTCACACACAACACACACATATACAAGCACACAAACAGTTGTTCGACTTGGACAAACAAAAAAAAAAACACTTCACATTTCACTTGCACTTGCTGTCTACACCTAATCTCTAATTTGTCTAAAGAGATGTGCGCACATTTTTTCAGATCAGAACTAAATAGTGCACTAGTTAATTACATTTCTAAATTAATACATCTTACTTTTCTAGCTTCAATTGTTCTGCTTTATTGCAAAAATCACGGTCACAATTCCGTGTGACCAGGTTAAGCATACCGCGAAAATACTTTCAATATCGTTTGTAAATCCAAAATATATTTTAAGCTGTTGAGCGACCGTTATTTACTTAAATTGATATAAATGATTCTAATACCTTTAAAAACATTTATGTTTTCATTACCTTAAGTAAATCTGAGATGAACGTTTAATAAAATATATTTAAGGTATATTATTATTATTTTTTTTTTTTTCATTTATTTGGTATTTGGACGTACGGACCATGGCTAAATTAACGTCTCTTAAGGTTTGCTAATTCTAGATTTTATTTGAAATCGTCCATACAATGTATTGAATTCATACCTATTAACAATAAATGTTTTTAGCGATAGTTTTTACCATACAAATACTAAAATCGTATTTTATGGTATCGCTGAAACTGATAAGAGTAGAACTGGATACCCCTAATGTGCAATTAGACCAGTATTGAAAAGCACAATTTATAGTATTTTTAATAAGTTTGTAATGAAATCAGTATTTTGGCGCATTTAGCAAACGGTCGTTCTAGTCTCAGTTTCCAAAATTATTTAAACAAACAAATACTAAAATAGCTTCTGTCCGCTGTAAACAAAGGCCGCGAAACGCGAGTGCAGTTGGCGTTAGCAGCAACTATACAACAACAATATGGCTGGTTTCGTTGCGGTGCATACAGGTTCGTTTTGATTGATGAGCGTATATGTATATCTAGTTATTTACGATTTACGGACACGTACATTTGTTTCAGGAGCTGGAAATTGCATCGACGAATCCAAATACCAACGCGTCATCAAAGAGGCATGCATACGAGCTACAGAAATTCTGCGAAATGGCGGCAGCGCTATCGATGCCTGCGAGGCAGCGATAATGCGCCTGGAGAACTGTGGTCACACAAACGCCGGCTTTGGCTCCAATCTCTGCCTAGACGGCTCCGTGCAATGCGATGCAGCCATAATGAATGGAACCACTCTCAACTTTGGTGCATGCACCAATGTCAGTCGAGTAAAGAATCCTATACAGCTAGCGCGTCGCATTTGTGACGGCCAATCGGATCAACAGCCACTGGAACGCATTCCGCCCATGGTGCTGGCAGCTAGCGGTGCAGAGCAATATGCCGAGCAAGTGGGCTGTGCTATGGTCGATCCCAATGTGCTGATCTCATCGAAAGCGAAATTCCATTATAATCATTATAAGAGCAAATACGATCTAGTTGTCGGCGACAGCAAAACGGTCGAAGCTGCCGAGGCTGTCCCCGAGCCAAGCAACGAGGTGGAGTTAGCTGCCGCCTTGGACACCGTTGGCGCTGTGTGTGTCGATGGTGCTGGGAATACTGCAGCCGGCTGCAGTTCCGGTGGCATTCTACTCAAGGTGCCTGGTCGTGTTGGTCAGGCGGCTACCTATGGCGCCGGCTGCTGGGCCACCGACACGGATGAGCTGGCCATTGCCACGTGCACGACAGGCAATGGAGAGTACCTGATGAAGACACTGCTTGCCCGCGAGATATGCAATGGTGCTTTCAGTAGTGATTGCGCTGTGACCAGCCTACACAAGACATTCAAGCAAAAGTTCTTGGACTCACCACTGCTGCCGCAACAGCAGGATCTCTATGCGGGGGCACTCACACTGCTGTACTATCCCAAACAGAGCTGTGGCGAGGTGATGTGGAGCCATACGACGCAATCATTCTGTGTCGGGTACATGGCAACCACGCAAAAAGTGCCAAAGGTTGGTGCAAAGCCATCAGCTATCCATCCATCATCTTGCCCATCTACATATTGAATACTATATCTATATACATATATATTCTAATGCTGTTTCTATTTTTTGCAGTTCGTACACTCTCCGTTGCCCACGTACAGTGTGCCAGGCAGATCGTGCGTTGTCAATGGCCATAATTTCCATTTGCGCATTTAGTTTGAGGCTAGCCAAATAGCCTTAGCCAATAGCCAACAACCAACAGCCAACAGACGACAGCCGACAGCCGGCAGCCTGCTCTGTCCCAGACACAGGTCCGCCTGCGCGCCACCTCCATCGTCATCTCTTCTGCCAACTGATTTGATTTAATATTTAATTGCCGCAACAAACACTGTCAATGCAGGCGCGCCGCCTTTCGCCCAACCAGCGAACCGACAAAGCCAGCCAGGCTGCAGCCACCACCGAAACCAACACTCAAACCAAAACCAACAACGACAATGACAACAATTCATATTGCTCTTGTCTCGATGAAATATTAGGAATCATTAAATGGCAACTTTTCATTGTATATCACTATGTATGTATGTATGTAAATAGTGTGCATGTTTATGTGTGTACGCCACAACTAGCAATAAAATAAGATTATTTTGCACATATATATATTTATATACACATATATCTAAAACTAAAGCGCAACGCAACGCATCTGCCCGCCTCATAAATCAGACGAACAGTGGTCGAAAAACGTGAACATCATATTCTAATCACATATTTAGAATTTATGACGTAGAAGCAAAACAAAAAAAAAAAAAAAAACAAACAAATATGTTAGCTGTTTGCAGTCTCGGTCGTTCTTTTTTTTTTTGTAAGAAAATTTAAAATTTTATTTTATTTGATTACCATAAGATGTATTTAGCTAAGCATTGTTACAATATAAGTTTGCTGCATTACCTATTAATGAATATTTGATTTTATTTATAGATATTATATAAGTGATATAATTTTTATAAGGCGTACGTAATTTTGTTACAGAGTTCCGGCTTATCGGCAACACAATATTTAAGAACCATATCGAAATATCGTTTAGGAGCAGAACATATCCTGTATATGCTTTTCCAGTCGGTGCTGGTAACACTTGGTCTCTCGCAGTAGAGCGCAGTGTGGCAGTTTTCATCTGCATATGCATATACATATAAACCTGGAACCCTCTCCGCAGCCCTACTGCAGATCTTGGAACGTTCGTAGTAACTGGGCGTTGGTGCTGGTGAGGTAGCCAGAAACCCGCCACTGTCATTGCAAGTGGCTTCCTTTCCCAGCTGTAGAAAACGGATAAATGGGATTCCGCTCGATAAATTATTAATTATTTCTAAAAGATCTACTTACATAAGTAGCGGCAGCCTGGGGCACACAGACGGAACCGACCTCAATGTCTGCTATGCAAATCTGATCCCTCCTGCAATCTATTAGGGTAGCTATTTCATTATTTACGCAACGGGCTGCTTGATTCGCAGTCACACAGGCGTATTGAAAGCCCTGGACACATTTGCCGCAAAGCTCGGGTTTAACAGGTGCGCATACGTTCTTAATAGTTTCGGAAATCTTATATGTAGGCACGCAGACTGCTTCATTATTGCTGCAAACGAAGCCTTCAAAGCATTTTTTCTCTTCACCAAATGGCTCTCCGTCTGATTTAATATCGATATTGATATTAGATTATTAGCGAAAGTCCATACGAATATCCCTAAGTACTCACTAAAGCAAAAATAATAGGTTGACTGCGATACACAAAGAACTTCGTTTTCTGCCATGCAAGCGCCGCATTTGAGCTCCTCTTGAGTCTGTACAGCACTGACGCCCAGCGAAGCGATAATCAGAACTGCGATCAACTTGATCATGATTTGTCTCTTGGATTGCAATGAAACGTCTTGACTGATTCCATTCCGCCCACGCAGCTAGCTTATATACGAGAAGTGTCAGCCTTCACGACTGCAGTTTATGGATCCTGCCATTACACTGCTGTTGACTTGTTAAACGGCTGAGCATAACAACCACAGTAACAAATTGTATAGATTACATTGCGATAGTAAAGGCAGAAGATCGCTATTTTTTCTCCAGAGTACATTAGGGGCTTATTTTTATCTTTATTATCTTTGCTCTCCATGTAAGGTATTCAAGAATGATAAGGAGGCGGGCTTTTTTTAGATTTGATTTTTGTATATATTTTTCGTGTCTTTTTTTCAGAATTAAAGCTAAGCTTAAAGGGTTTTTATTTAAAATTTGATTTGGCCAAGGGATTTTTTTTTTTCAATTTTTATAGGGTATTTTCCAGTCTAGTAGTTGATTATAACTCTTTTATGGGCTCATAAACATGAATGAAAATGGAATAAAAAACAAGATAATTACTTTTCCTAAAAAAGAGTATACTTGATCATGTAAAAATACTTATCACGTATGTACTTTCAATGCTACCTTCAGAAATTGGTTGAAAATACTCCGTATAAATGTAATGTAATCCTTTGATCATACTACTACCTATATTAGGTATAGACTTCGCATTAAATCACTCGATTATACATAAGTCCTATTCAATACGCTTGCATATAAATTATTAGAACTGGCATACTTCCAACTTATGTATGTATATATATAAAGTTCCCCACCCTCTTTACCCTCCGCTGGCGCATTAGCGGAATTTGATATGCTAATCAAGAAATGTATCTAAATATATTATATGTTAATTTTATTTTATTTTGCTTTTGAAAATTATATAAGTTGCATAATGGTTATTAAATGTGCATGTATTTTAGTATATTTTCTATATACATATTTTTTATTTGATTCAATAATGGACCGCGAGTTACCTCTGGATTACTCTGGGGCTGAACTGGAGGATGAACCCGGTGTCGCAGTTGTACTCGGAACTGGGGCCGCAGTTGTACTCGGAACTGGGGCCGCAGTTGTGCTCGGAACTGGGGCCGCAGTTGTACTCGGAACTGGGGCCGCAGTTGTACTCGGAACTGGGGCTGCAGTTGTGCTCGGAACTGTTGTGGGAGATACTGGGGCCAGAGTAGAGTCTGTAACTGGGGCAACAGTTGTGGTAGGGACTGGACAGTTTGTCGGCTTAGTTTCAACACAATATTTAAGGAGCGTATTGAAATAAGGCGTGGGAGCGGAGCATGGTCTATAAAAGGTTGTCCAGTCGGTGCTTGAGAGACTGGGCCTCTGGCAATAGACGCCGTTCCTGCAGCTCCCATCGGCATATGTATAGAAAAATAATCCTGTAACACCCTCCGATGCCTCATTGCAGATTCTGGAACGTTCGTCGGGACTGGGCGTTGTGCTTGGCGCTGGAGTTGGTGTGGTATACTCGGCATCCTCGTTGCAAGTGGCATTCTTTCCCAGCTGTAAAGACCCGATATATGTAATCCGCGAACTCGCTAAATATTTCTGAATGATCTACTTACATAGGCAGCGGCACACTGGGGCACACAGACGGAACCGACCTCAACGTCTGCAATGCAGATCTCATCTGCCTTGCAATTGATGACGCCAGCTATTTCGTTTTTTACGCAACGGGCTGCTTGCGTAGGGCTCACACAGGTGTATTTATTGCCCGTGATACATTTGCCGCAGCCTCCGATGCTAGCATCTCCGCATACATTCTTCACTGTTTCGGATATCTGAGTTTTAGGCACACAGACTTCTTCTGCATTGCTGCAAACGGTATCTCCAGCGCACTGTATCTCGTCGCCAACCGTCTCGCCATCTGATTTAATATTAGCGAAAGTCCTTATGAGTATCTTTCATTACTTACCAAAGCAAAAATAATAGGATGTCTCCGATACACAAAGCACCTCGTTTTCTGCCAGGCAAGTGCCGCATTTGAGCTCCTCCTGACTCTGTACAGCAGTGAAGCCCAGGGAAGCGATAACCAGAACTGTGATCAACTTGATCATGATGTGTCTCTTGGATTGTAATGGAAGTTCTTAACTGATTCCATGCCGCCCACGCAGCTGGCTTATATACCAGAAGTTTTAACCTTCACGACTTCAGTTTATGGGATTATGGAATCATTATAATATTGTTGACTTGTCAAACGGGTCATAAAGCAATATCAAATCATACTTTTTGGCTGAGCATAACAACAAGAACCACGGCCAAAAATTGTATAAATTATCTTGCGATAGGCAGAAGATCGGTCTTTTTTCTCTAGAATACATTAGGGGCTTATCTTTATCTTTATTATCTTTGCTCACCATATTTAAGGTATTGCAAAATTTGTTTTACCTTATAATATCTATACTTCCGATGCTAACTTCAGGAATATGCACGAAAAACTTCCTAAATAAATATATAATACCTCGAATTTTATTGAGACGCACAACAATTTTGTGAGAACAAATGAATAATTCAATAGGTTCCCTTGTCTATTCTCCACCCTCTTCACCCTCGGCTGGCCCATCAGCGGGTGCTGCCGCCGACGCCCTCTTGGGTGTACCATCTTCCTTCTCAAATTCCTCGGTGCGGCGATCACGCTCATCCTCTCGCTCGAACGGATAGAAAGGATGCTCCGCAGCTTCCTCAAATTTCATAAGGCGATCCTTGGGCTTGATGCCCTTGAGCAGACGCCTATCTTCCTCAGTCAGCTGGAAATCGAATATGTTCAGATTCTCTTTAATGTGCAAGGGATTTGCTGCCTTGGGTATGGGCACCACCCCATAGTCAATCTGGGAATATATTGAGATCCATTAGTCAGGTCGACGAACCAGGATCAACTCACATGCTCCTGGCTATACCAGATAACGTAGCACGATTTGGGCAGGCGTGCGCTTGTATTTCTTCACCAGACGTCGCATGCCCTCGGAGAAGAAGTAGATGGGTGTATGAGTTTCACGATCCGGCTGGCCGATTGGCGCGTAGGCAGTCACAACGATGCCATTGTAGCGACAATAGTCGACCAAGTCCTTTTGCATGAAGCCAGGCCAGACTTCCACCTGATTGACAACCGGCTTGGATGAGCTGCACTGGATGATGCGCTGCACCTGCTCCATATTAAAATTGGAGACACCAATGCTGCGCACCATACCCAGCTTAACCAGCTCCTCCATCGCCCGCCACGTGTCAATGTAATCCACGTCGCTATCAAAATGGAATATTTAAGAGAACATTTTCAATGCGAATCTCTATTACGTACGATAATTGTACTTTATCGTCCTGCTTGGGGTAGAGAATCTCATCGCATAAGTGTGTAAAGCCGACTGGGAAGTGCATTAGGTAGAGATCGATGTAGTCAAAGCCAAGTGCTTCCAGCTGCTTCTCGCATATACGACGCACATCTCGCGGATCATGATGGATATTCCAAAGCTTAGCGTGGAGTTGGAGAATCACTGTGCAGGCATATCAAATCGGACTTACCTTGGTAGTGAGAAAGATATTCTCCCTGGAGACATTTCCCATTTGGATTTGCGTACGCAGGGCCTCGCCCACCTCCCTCTCGTTTTCATGGACGTACGCCGTATCGAAATGCCTGAACCCAGTCTCCACAGCGCAATGGATGGCAGTCAGGCATTGATAGCCGCGCATCTGCAGTGGGAAATCGGAAAGGATTTAACAGATTTACGGATGCTGCTCTTACATTAGCCGTCCCAAGTCCTAGCACAGGCATTTCGTAACCGCTGCTGAGCTTGATCTTGGGTGCCATCAGCAGGTTCTTGATCCCGCAGACGGGCTTCTCGCCCAGTATAAGAGCGACCCGGGTGTTGTCTTCCTCATCGTCCTCACATGTGGTTAAACAACGTGCGGGTATCATTATATTATGAATATGTGTATATTATTGGTTCAGGATTATAAAAACAAAATAATAAATCAATTTCGATTACACACAATATCTTGGCAATTTTGAGTTGTCTAAAGCTTTAAATAATTTAAATACTTGAATTTATGACCATTAAGAAACGGTGCGCAAATTGCAATTTATTTTAAATATCATATTACATAAATATATATTTTTATGTTTTTTTAAGTATTTTTTTTTTTGCTTTAAAACTCAATGCCAAATGGATAGTACTTGTGATTGAGACTCTTGATCAAATTCAAAGGCACATATCGCTCGCCAGTGTTATAGCCATCCAGTACACATCTCTCCTCCGCCGTCAGCTCAAAGTCGAAAATGTCAAAGTTCTCACTAATGCGTCCAACATTTGAGGATTTCGGTATGGGTAGTACACCTAATTCCACCTTTAAGTAGAAGAGTTAGATGAAAAATTACAGTGATAATGAATTTTAAACTAAGCTTAAATCATTCAAGAAAAAAGTGTCGTAGGATTAGGCCACAGTTGTCATAGAACTTATTCTACTATTTATACCAAATAACGTAGCACAACTTGGGGAGTTGTCTTCTTGTATTTTTCAGCTATGGCCTTCACTTCGGCAGAGTAGAGGAAGTCGGGCTTCTGCTGTTCCGGATTTGGTCTACCCAGGGGCGTGTATGCAGTTACGGTTACATCATACTTCTTGCAGAAGGCCGTCAACTTCTTCTGATTAATTGCCGGCGAGCACTCGACTTGATTGGTCACCGGCTTGATTTCACAATTCTCGATAATACGCAACAGTTGTTCACTGTTGAAATTCGACACTCCAATGCTGCGCACCAGGCCACTTTTGACTAATTGTTCCATCGCCTTGTAGGTATCCAGGTAGTCAATGTCGCTCAGCAGAAGCTGACCTGCTTCATCTTTGGGCAGTAGCGTTTCCTCGTCGACATACTTGTAGCCAACCGGCATGTGCATCAAGTACAGATCAATATAGTCCAAGCCGAAGTTGGACAGCTGCTTGCGGCATGCAGTCTCAACGTATTTGGGATCATGATGAATGTTCCAGAGCTAAAAGAATTCATTTGTTTGCTTGAAATATGACTTTAAAATTATTCCGAGTATTCAGTCTTACCTTTGTAACCAAGAAAATGTCCTCGCGCTTGACTACGCCCTCTGATATCTTATCCCGTATAGCTTTGCCTACCTCCGCCTCGTTTTGATAGAAATAGGCGGTGTCGATATGCCGGTATCCAATGTCAATCGCGTGTTTTATCGCTATTTCCCCTTCATTATTCTTGGACTAAAATATTTAATATAATTATAT